TTCTTTCTTTCTTTCTTTCTTTCTTTCTTTCTTTCTTTCTTTCTTTCATTTTGTTTTTCAAGACAGGGTTTCTCTGTGTAGCCTTGGCTGGCCTGGATTTGCTTTGTAGACCAGTCTGGCTTTGAACTCACAGACATCTGCCTGCCTCTGCCTCCCTGAGTGTTGGGATTATAGGCGTGTGCCACATTTGAGACTTTTAATAGCTGACTGAGAGTGAACAGAGCTTGTGTTTCCAACTTCTAACAGCTGACTTCTTTATCTTTGTTCTCCTACTGTCTCTTCATAATCAGACACGTCAATAGGCCCGACCAAACGTGACCATTCACACACAGAGCCTCCCAGCAGGAGGTCGGGAAGGGGGAAGGTAGGCAGGCAGAACTGTACAGTGGGTTGGCAGAAGGACCTCTGCTGTCCATAAGGGTGCCCTGAGTTATTCAGATCAACCCTGTCTTGAAAATATTTCAAAAAACAGAATGAAAGAGAAAACACTGAGACTTAACAGAAAAGTGAACACGGAGTGGGCCTAAACCAGAAAGCAAGGACCCGGAGACATCTTCCAGGAACACCTCTTCCGGAGAAGAGGCCCCAAAGACATTTTCCCGGTCTTTTCATCGAAGTTGTTGACACATGCTAATTGAACAGAGAGACGGCAGAGGAGTGCCCTGTGCATGGACCACACGCCATCTTTCTGCCCTTTAGCCTTCTCTTTTACCCCTCTGTGGTAGTCCCAATGAGAGGTTTCCCCCCGAGGCTCAGGTATTTGCACGCTTGGTTCCCAGCTGGTGTTGGCTGGTTGGGAAGGTTTAGGCGGTTCTGCTTTGCTGGAGGAAGCGTGCAGCAGACTAGGGTTTGAGACTTCACAGTCTTGCCTTACTTTCACTTCACTCTTACTTTGTGAGGTTCAGGATGTGATCTCTCAGCTTCTTGCTCCTGCCCACCCTCTGCCGTGCCCAGCTCTAGAACCAGAAGCCTAAAAAAAAACCAACACAACCCTTTCTTTTCTAAGTTACTTCTGGTCATGCTGTTTTATCAAAGCAACAGAAAGGAGCTAATACTCCGCCTCCACGGCCCCCCTCCAGTTGCTGAAGAGCTCTCTACTTTCAGGTCATCTTTTATTCATTTATTTCCATACATGAGACAAAACTGACACTTGCTTCTCTGTTTGTGGCTTCTTTTGTTTAACATGATGTCTTTTGCTTCTGTCCATTTTCCTGCCAATGACAGGGGAGCCCTCAAAGGTCTTAAATTTACAATGTTACCAAGGCTGACCCTGAACTCCTGGTCTCTCCTACCTGAGCCTCTCGTGTGCCAGGATCACAGGTGTGTTCTACCATGCTCTGTCCAATGTTAGGATGGTGCCACAGCATATAATTAAAGAAGGAGAGGAAGAGCTGGGTTGTGACTCAGTGGTAGAACACTTACCTAGCATACATGAGGTCTTGGGTTTAGTACCCAACACTGAGGAAATAAAGTCAAGAGCAGATGTCTTATGCAGCCAGGATCATTAGCAGCCACAAGTTATGAATGAAGTATGTCAGTGAGGAGACAGAACATTTTCTAATGCTTTTCTTCTCATCAAAGATTTGCACAATTTCGAATTGTCCTTGGGGACTTTAACTTTGCTGGCATCCAGCAGGCCAACTGGATCTTGGGGCCCATCTACTTCATCACGTTCATCTTCTTTGTGTTCTTTGTACTCCTGGTAAGGACTCCCTCCCATCTTCTTCACTGCAGGCTAGTCACAAAGCTGAGGCAGTGCACACCTGGTCCCAGCTAGTGGTGCTGTCTAGAGAGGTTTAGGTGGCACGGCCTTGCTGGAGGGAGACTCAAGTGACTCTCTTCCTCAGCTGCCCAAGTAGCAGAACTGTAGGCCCTTGACCCAGGATCCGGTCTGAAAAGTCACTCCGCGTGTGTGTGTGTGTGTGTGTGTGTGTGTGTGTGTGTGTGTGTGTGTGTATGTGTGTGTGTGTGTGTGTTGGGATGCTGGGGTGAAGCTCAGGACCTTGAACATTCTAGACAAGCTCTCAAACACTGAACTATACGCCCAAGTAAATTTTTATTGAAGTAATTATCTGATATTTCTCCCCAGAACATGTTCTTGGCAATAATTAACGACACCTATTCTGAAGTGAAGGCTGATTATTCAATAGGCAGAAGACCAGATTTTGAACTTAGTAACATAATTAAGAAGGTAAGTGAGTGGGCTGGAGAGATGGCTCAGAGATTAAGAACACTCTTCTTCCAGAGGTCCTGAGTTCGATTCCCAGCACCCACATGGTGGCTCACAACCATCTATAATGAGATCTGGTGCCCTCTTCTGGTGTGCAGGCACACATGTAGGAAGAATACTGTATACGTAATAAATAAAAAGTTTAAAAAAGAGAAGGTAAGCTAACTTATTTTCCTGAACAAACTTATAGAAAACTTATAAAAATTCATAAACTTATAAAAAGCTTATATCACTTAAACCCTCCAGTGAGACACACACACACACACCAGCCTTTTTTGTTGTTTTTTATGCCTCACAAGCTGGCCTCAAACTCACTGTGCAGCTGAGAGTCATCTCATGATCCTCCGGTGTCTACCTCCTGTGTGCTATGACTCCAGGCATGCACCACCGTGCCCAGTTTATGTGGTACTTGGGTTGGAAACCAGGGCTTCATGCATGCTAGGTAAGCACTTTACCAACGGAACCACGTCCGCAGCCCTTCTGACATTAACAATTTAGCTAAAATTACTTCAGAGTTCCACATACCAAATACTAGCCACAAAGCACTGTCAGGTGACAAATGGAACCTATGTCATTGCTCACAAAAGTTTGTCAAGTTAGATCCTAGCAAATTTCCCCAATCAAACTCAGCATTTGCGTGCCTTGTCTTCATGTCAAGTTAAGCCCAGTTTCTTCACTCCACTATCCCAAGCCATTTGCACACCTCACAGTCCCAACCCCTCTTCAACTATCAGGAGCTAGCTTCTGCTTTTCCTGCCTTTGTGTACTGAAGTGTAAGTTCCAGCTCATCGGTTTGGTTTCTGTGCTGCCTGTGTTTGCTCTTCTGAGGCATGGCCTCACTGGGCAGCCCTGGCTGGAACTTGCTGTGTGAAGCAGGCTGGCCTTGAATGAAGTGCAGTCTTCCTGCTCCTGCCTCCAGAGTGCTGTCTGTGTGAACACATCTCACTTGCCTTCTACTCACCCCATCTCTTACCTCTAAAATACTCCAACAGCTGTTCCCTTTCTTGCTTTCTGTTCTTGACACAGTGGAATCTGCCCTGTCCTCTTGACCTCTGGCTCATTTTGAGTTATGCACCCACCGCACCTCCTCAGTTGTGGTTTCTATTGCTGTGATAAAACACCGTGACTAAACCAATCTTAGAGAGGACTGTGTTTATTTCATCCTACAGCATGTAGCGTCTATAGCCCAGGGAAGTCAGGGCAGGAACTTGAGGCAGGAACTGAAGCAGAGGCCATGGAGGAGTGATGCTTTTACTGGCTCCCTCAGCCTCTCTTATGCCATCCAGGACCTTGGGCCCAGGGGTGGCACTCCCCCCAAGGGGGTGGGTCCTCCCTTATCAATCATTAATCAGGAAAATACTCCATAGACTGCAATATGGTAGGGGCATTTCCTTAGCTGAGGTTCTCTCCTCTCAAATGTCTCAAGCTTGTGCCAAGTTGAATAAAACTAGCCAGCATGCCTCCCTACCAACTTGTACATCCTGGCAATTCCAAGTACTTTACAGAGGTGCCAGTAGCTCTGTTCCTGTGGGGCTTAGGGTTTGTCTGGGAACTCATCCGTTAAGAGAATACTATTAACATAAAAGTGTTAACATTCTTAAGGCAGTCCATGTTAACATTTAAGATTTTTGTGTGTATGGGTGTGTGCCTGCGTGTGGGCATGCGCGTGTGAGTGCGGGTGCCCATGGAGGCCAGCGGCACTAGATCCCCGAGTCTGGAGTTGTAGGTGAGCTGCCCGACCGGTGGTTGGACAGAGCTCAGGCCCCTGGAACTGCTGGGCCACCTCTTTGGCTCCCATGTTGGCATTTCTAAAAAGACCTTTGCCTCACACCCCAGTGATGCCTCTGCAGTGCCCCTCTGCTTTTCAGAGGCAGCATGCAAGATGGCGGCATGGAGAAAGGCCAGGCATCTCCTTAGGCAGGAGCCCCTACAGCAGCCGTCACAGTTCCTGTAGCTTGACTCAATGTGAAGAATACAGGGAATAACTGAATTTTCAAACTCTCTTTAATTAAACCAGACCTACCTTAATGTGCTCGAGAAGCTCAAACTGAAAAAAGCTCAAGATGATGAAGACAAGAAAACGTAAGACATTAAGTTGTTATCATTTTCAATTTCTGTATAGAACATCTTAGTTTCTTTTCTATTGCTGTGAAGAGAAACCGTGACCAAAGCAATGTTTAGAAAGACTTTGAGGCTTTCCATTCTAGAGGGCTAGGCAGGGAGCATGGCGGCAGGCAGGCAGGCACGTGAGCAATAGATGAAAGCCCACATCTGATCCACAAGCACTAGGCAGAGAGCTAACTAGGAATGATATGGGTTTTTAAAAACCTTTTTTTTTTTTTTTCATTTAAACCTTAAAACCTACCCCAGTGACATCCCCTTCAACAAGGCCACACCTCCTAATCCTTCCCAAACAGTTCCACCAACTGGGAATCAAGCATTTAACTTCAGGAGCCAATGGTGACTTTCTCATTCAAACCACCACATAGGTGTTCAACTTAGGATTGGGTTACTAACCGCTGACAGAATCCCTACACGTTACGTGTTGATTATCATGTAATTGATTGGCTTTGTACACCTAAGATCCACAAGCAACAATGCAAACAGTAGAGTGTTGACTGTTTCCCTCGTGACCACATACATGGCTGAGAGTTCAGCATATTGAGTATCCTACCACATTTTACCACCCTGGGAAAAGATCAAAATTCAAATTTTAAGTGTTGTTTCTGCACTGGGTTGTGGTGGTGCACACCTTTAATCCCAGTACTCAGGAGGCAGAGGCAAGTGGATCTCTCTAAGTTCAAGGCTAGCCCAGTCTACAGTGTGAGTTCCAGGACAGCCAAGGCTACATAGAAAAAAAAAGAATGGTTTCTGCTTTTGCATTATTATAAAGTCAAGAAAACGGGAACCTCTGCTTTTATTACAGAAGAAAATGAGCTTAGGTTGACTGTGAGTCTAAACACTTCCATCTTTATACTAGCCAGTAAGGCTTTTAATTTCTGAGGCTGTTGTGGAACTCATTTAAAACTAACATGGAGCTAATAGGTAGTCCAGCCCTGCCTGTGAGGCTCCAGGCATGTCAGGGGCACTGGATCTTGCTGGCACCACTTAAAAAACAGCACAGCATATGTATTGCCACTCGGCAAAGGAGGGCAGGATGTTAGGAGAGCAAAGTCGCTTGCACAAGTATAAAGTAACTTCTTTGCACACAGTGCACACGGTATTCAACTATGGAAATAAAAACATTCTGCAGTAACTTGGGCTTGACATGATGCTTATTTGTTAATGGAAAGAACGTGGTTTATTTTTACAACCCCACCCTATTAATTACATTTTAATGAGCAGCATTTGTCATAAGGCAGTTCAGCTCCTTGCTGTAGACCTGATTGTGTTCATGGTTGCAGCCTTTTAAACTCACATTTATTTTGCCTTTCCAATAGGAAAACAACTGAAGAGTTGGCCCAACAAGCCAGAAAAGAAGGCTTTAGTGAAAACGTAAGATTTTAATTCATTTCTCTAAACTTTCAAAAAAGTTCTAATTAATAGAAGTCATTTATGTCCACAGTTGTCACCTGTAATACACCTCTCAGAATCGAGAGCCTTTCCCATTCCCCACGGTAAGCTGCTTAAAGAACAGTGGGGATTTACAGAATGTATTTAGTATAGATCACTTATGCATGTATGTTGGGGATAAGGCGGGGATGTGCACAGAGAGGAGTTACCTCAGGAAGGCCATCCCCTCCCTTTAAAACAGGGTCTCTCATTGGCCTGAAGTTCTCCAAGACTAGCCTGGCTTCACAGTGAACTTCAAAGGTCCTTTTGTGTCTGCCTCCCTAGTCCTGAGATTACAAGTGTGCACCACCACAGCCAGCATTTGAAAAAGATTTACTTGTGTATATGTGCAAGTATATGTACATATACTTACCTGTATATGTGCAAACATGTATAAGGGTGTACATGCCTGCGCATGTACTTTGAGGCCAGAAGAGAATGCTGGGGTATCCTCTTGTAACATTTTTCACAACTCGAGTCTAAAGATAAGTCTATAATTAGTTCAATGAGTCATTCCTGGAATAAATGTGAGAACTAAGAGATACTGTATGTTTGAGGAACTTTACCTAGCAATGTCAACATGAGCCTTATCCAAATAAAATTTGCATGTACTTAAAAGGGGAAAAAAGAGATCAAGTTAGCATGAAAATGTTCAACAGAATAGCAGCTAGAATATGTTCATGGAAAGATGTTAGCCAAGAATTTTTATAACCAACAAAACTGTACTTCAAATATAAAGGTCAAGACCACATGAACTTGAGAATGCTGCAGCTTTTCTGCAGCTCTTACTAACGGGTAGAAAACACAAGGGGAAGGAGGGAGAGGGCAGCGAGCTACGAAGCTAGAGGAGGCTCGCTGGAACCTGCGGGTCTCACACACCCGCAGTCCCAGCATTTGGGAGATGGAGGCAGGAAGATCAGGAGTTCAAGGCCACCTTCACCTGCACAGTAAGTGGGAGATGGCCCAATGGGTAAGAGCACTTGCTTCCCGCGCATGAGGACCGGGGTTCAAATCCCACAGCCATATGAAAATCTGGGCATATGAAGCTGTAACCCATGCACTGGACAGGCAGATCCTGAGAGCTTGTCAACTGCGTCAATGAACAAGCAGATAAAGCAGAGTGATAAGACACCTGGGGTCCTGGCCTGGCCTCTGCCTGTGCTCACACATCGCTGTGCACACCAAACACATAAACACAAAAGGTGTGAAAATGAGTTAGGCCCATGTACTAATACACCCACAATATAATTGGCCTGGTCATTTTAGTCATTAACAGTCTTAGCGCAAAAACTAGGGAGCTGCAGCTAGCAAGTTTCCCTGCCAGCACAGTGGAGCTTCACCTAACAGGGGGATCCGGGACCATCTTGACGGTGATCAGAAACACCAGGCAGGGATCTCCTCCGCTGCCTTGCCTTACCTCTGGACTAAACACACTTGGTGAATTCTTACGAGGACGCCCTAATCCAAAGTGTGTCTGTCTTCTAAATCAACTTCGAGGGCTGTATTTGGGTGTACACGTTCCTGTGTGTGATGGAGGGCAAAGTCAGTACTGGGGATCTTTCTCAACAGAGACAGGGTTTCACTGAACCTGGTGAAAAAAGCTCATCCATCTGTGTAGACTAGCTGGCCAGCGGGCTCCAGCCCCGGCCTCCGCCGGGCTGAGATGATGGTACATGACGCCACTTGGCTTTTGACCTGGCTGCTGAAGATCTGAACTCGAGTCCTCGTGTTTTCCTGGTAGGTGCTTTACCAAGCCAACTCTAGCTCCTTCTGAGAGATGCTTGCTACCCAGGCCAGGGTGGCCCTAACTTCTCCATCCCCAGCTCTAGCTTCTTTAATGTCAGCGGTCGAGTGCCTCCCCCACACCTGGCTCACCGAAGCACTTTACAGCCCCACCCGGCACACTCCTTTCTCCTTTCCTAGGGCTGTTCCGAATTTCCACAGTATTCCTTTTTTCCACTCTAAATTTGAGAAAAACTGAGACAGGCAAAATGGCTTGAGCAGTCAAAGGCACCTTGCTACGAAGCCTGATGACCAGAGGTTGAACTCTGGGACCCACACAGCCTTGACAGTTATTCTAACATGCACCACTGCGTGTGCACCACACGCCACACACATGAAATAATGAAATGCAATGGTGTGAAATACACAAACACGGGTCAAGCTGGTGGTGGTAGGGACAGTTCACGGGAAGGACTGCAGATCAGGAAGGGGCAGTGATACCCGTTTCCTAGTGAGTCCTGTGCTGGTATGCCACTGGTGCATACAGACCATTAAGCAAGGCAGGGATTGTTTAAAAGGGACCGAGTCACATCTGGGTAGGTCTGGCAGAAAAGCTGCTGGGACAGTAAAGAATGCCCCGGAGGCATTCTCAAGGGCACTTGCTACATTTAAGGGGCTGGAGGCTCACGGCAGAGCACTGCACAGCATGTATGAGACCCTGGGCTTGAAACAGCTCTGAAAAAGAGGGACAAGAGAATATTAGCTTAGATACGTTAGTTAAAACAGGAAGAGACTGTGTGCACGAGAGGCAAGCCCTTCCCATGTGGGCTGCACAGCTCACAGCCCAGGCTTCGGGGTAACTGCAGACCAAGCGCCGGCTATCATCTTTAGCAGTCTACTTCCTACTTGTTTTTCGAGACAGGGTTGCTTTGTGTATCCCTGGATGTCCTGGAACTCCCTGTGTAGACCAGGCTGGCCTCAAAGGCAGAGATCCGCCTGCCTCTACCCCTGGAATGCTGGGTAGTGGTCTACTAAAGTCTTCAGCACATACACACACAGACTGCAGCCTGTACTTGTCTTCTAAATTTACAGGAGATCCAATGGGCAGAGCACATGAAAGCATGGAAGGAAAGGCTTGAGAAGTACTATTCTACAGAAATTCAGGATGACTACCAGCCTGTCACTCAGCAAGAATTTCGAGAGTAAGCACGTGTTATAGGTACCAACTAGATTACATGGGACACCAAGATATGCAGAGCAAGGACACAGTTACATGTTATTTTCTTGAGCCAGACTCATATGTACTGTGGCTGATTTTTCATTTTCTGCAGTTTCAAAATTAATGCACACAACTCCGTTTGCTTATAAAGTGCGACCAGGGGGCTGGAGAGACGGCTCGGAGGTTAAGAGTACCAGCTGCTTTTCCTGAGGGCCCAGGTTCAACTCCCAGCATCCACACGGCAACTCACATTTCAGTTCCAGTCCCAGGAGATCAAATGTCCTCTTCAGACTTCTCTAGCACTAGGCATGCATGTGATGCAGACATACTTGCAGGCAAAACATCCACGGTTTTTGTTTTTTTTTTTAAAGTGAAACAGATGCCCCACCTCTAGATGAAAGGATGGGGCAGGGCTGTTCTCACAGCTCTCTGCCCGCTCTACAGCTGCCCCATGGAATGTGCTTTAGGAGCCCGCCGGCCCCTTTCCCCATGAAAGCAGCATGATAGATGTTAGTAAGCCACCACCTGTTTCATAGAAGTCTCACGCGTATCTCTAACTTATAAACTCTCCTCCTAGACTCTTTTTATATGCTGTGGAGCTTGAGAAGGAATTACACTACATCAGTTTAAAACTAAACCAAGTGATGAGAAAGCTACAGTAGCAAAACTGAAGAGAAGCAGAGGTAAGTGAGCTCCAGCAAAGACATTAAGTATTTATTGTTTTGTCTCCTAAACCATCTCTGTATACTTCACTGTTCTTTCCCAGTGCTGGCGACTGAGTGCAGAGGGCAGCAATGCTAGGCACTGGGCTGTATCTTCAGCCAAGATGCACTCTGAAAGCACTCAGTTGTGACAGGGTGGTTTCCATGCACCAAGTGCAGCTGACTAGAACCCACTATGCACTCCACAAGTTTACCAAGTACTTCCTGTAATATGCACATGAGCACACACAGACATGTCATGACAAGATTATTAAATTCTGGGAGCATAAAAGGGAAAGTAGAGGTTAGAGCTTCTCGTTCATGGCGGCAGATCTCTAACAGCTGGGTGTGAGGCAGAGACAGATGGTTCTCTCTAGGTAGAGGACGAGAACTGTTGGTAATTGCAACCACATCATGTCCCAAGATCTCAATTCCTTTGGTAAATCAAGTTGTAAGATTCTGAGAAAGTATTATATATCATCAGGATAGAATAATCTCCATCGAGCTGGAGGGATGGAGCACTGGCTGCTCTTCCAGAGGTCTTAAGTTCAATTCCCAGCAACCACATGGTGGCTCACAACCATCAAATGAGATATGGTGCCCTCTTCTGGCGTGCAGATGTACATGCAGATAGAACACTGCATACATAGTATACAAAAAAAAAAAAGTCTGCAGCTAAATACAGAAATCTGACTACCATCTTCAAACTCAAAATTAATCTGTTTCTAAAGAACAGCATTTCAAGTTTCCTAAAAATAGAATAGAGGCTGGCATACTAAGGCCATAAGAAGTTATGTTTGGAAATTATAGATCTATAGAGAGTGCTTTGAGACCCTTCTTGTTAGAAAGGTGTATTTACTGGTATTTGAGAAACTGGAGAGAAATGTCTTTTTTCTAAGCTATATAAGCCCTTCCCCAACAGCCATGTCCTCTTCTGTGGACCCAAGCAGCACCACACTCAGCCACAGCATTCAATTTACACATTACCAGTCAGTGTATATATTTAGAATATGAACAAAAGCAAATACTTTTAAAACTTTTTTTGAGGCAAATAAGTAAATAAAAGTTCAAGGCTGGCCAGCCTTGAACTACTAGGCTCAAGGGCTCTTTCTACTGTGGCCTCTAGAGCAGCTAGTGCATTTAAAAATTACTACCCACCTTCCTCAAAGTAAGGAGCACCCAGTTAGGTTTGGTTTTGTCTTTATAATAATTCCCTGCAACAGAAATGACTGACCCTAGCACTGGGAGGGAAAGAGAAGCAGGAGTTCAAGGTCCAAGATCCATGAAACCTTGTCTGCAAAATTAAAATGAAGTCTGCCTATTCTATGCAGCTTCTCCCTAAACAGCGCTGGACTTCTCTCTAGAACTGCGCAGGCCAAATTGTTGAGAAACCTGGGTGTGTTCCCCTGACACCATCACTGGGTAATTTAAATAAGCCTAAAACAATCAATACCTCCTAGAAAAACAAACATACATTTACAATGACTTCTTAGAACAGTAAAGTTCTTTTATTACAAAAGTCGGTACAATGAAATGCCAAACACACACAGCAATGTAATTATACTGGTGGACATATATATATCTATCTATATAGTATTTATATATAGATATAACTCATATTTGTACCAAAGTCAAACTCCTGCAAGCTGCCTAATCCTATGCACACTGCTACCCATGAGTCAGTGCGAGCACATGAGGGTGCCCAGTCACTTCACTACCCTACTCAGCCAAACTAACACTCAACGACCAAATTATGAAGCAGTTGTAACTCAATGAAACCAGTCGGGCTACAGACTTATAAAAATATTGTACTCAAATAGATTTAGCGTTATAGAGAAGGAATATATTATTTAAAACATTTAAATAGTGCACATGGACTTTTTTGCATGTGGTATACAAAATAAAACATTCATAAAAATATACAGTGCACATAAAATTACACATAGCAATCCTGTCTGGAGACCAAAAGAAACTAAAAAGTACACCACATGATGGGCTCAAATCAAATGATACATTTTTTGGCATTCTTAATTACTTTTCTAAAAATACATTATGAATGACTTAGCAGTATCAAAAGGAAACCACACAAAAAAAGGCTGGATGATTTAGTGCTTTAAAAAAAAAATTCTCCAACTACACATTCATTACCACTAGGTTTTTTTCCCTCTCCCCCCAAAAAGGCATTGCACACACAAGTGAAATGTGAAGTACTAAACACACTATTTATTATCAAACTACCTCCTGTTCTTACTGTGTAGTAATAGTGCCAGAAGTTTGAGGTTCATGCTTTCCTCACCTTATTAACGTTGTTGCAGAATTCCATTTGTATGAAACAAACTATTAAGAAAATCATGCATGAGTCATTGCATGCAAAGCATGGGCAAAGTGAGACATTTATCAATTCAAAAAAGCACCAAGGGTAGAGGTTGGGGGTAGGAGGGACAACCCACTTAGATTAAGCCTGACCCACATCTGTTGTATTAACACAAGTTACTAGTCCATAAAAATGATTAGCAGATTATCTAAAGAAAGGCCATGCAAAGCCAAAGGAAAAAAGATGCTAAGAGTCTATGGAGGGGCATACCACTATACATCCTGTTCATGTCTGGGTGAGGGGTGGTCACTGAGAGGGGGTTGCAGCTCCTGGATGGACATGGAAAGCTGCAGTGGTATAGCCCTTGTAAAGAACAGACTTACTCGGGTGTAGTCAATCTTTCTTTTGAGGCCCATGTATGACACACACAAATCTGAGCACCACCCAAGTCCCTCCACACTGGCACAGCTATTTCCTTACATTATCTGGAAGTGGGTGGACGACAGCGCAGGGTCTGATCCAGACAAGTCGTCATTGCCAGCTGGTGGCAGTAACTCACGTCCTGTAGGCAGCGTGTGCTGTGACTCAGCTCTGAGTGATGTGTGTAATGTTGCAAATGACTAAGCAAGGCTGCTGTGTGGTCTACCCACTGTTCTCTTCCTTCGGGGGCTGTGACCGCTCAGCAAATTCTGCCTAAGTACTCTCTGTGCAGGTCTCACTCCGGGAACTACACAGAAAGGTGTTCCAAACTAGGATCTGAAAATTCAGTTGTTTTCTAGGAAAAACAAGAGTACAGTTGCATATGTCACATTTATAGGCTTTTCTTTTAAATTCTCAGTCATTCTGTAAGAAAAAGGCAACCGAAGAATTTCAGTGTGAAGATTTTCCTCTCAATTTTCTTCAGTATGAAAAAGGAAAAAAAAAAAATAGTAAACAAAAAAGCTTTGTATTTCCAAAGTTCTTGAAAAGAATAAATTCTTGTCCTTTGCTAACAGATGTGTCTGTAGTAAAGCAGTGAAGGAACATGCATGTTTGCTAACTGTGGAGAGGTGATGTGGAACAGCCTTCCTTTCCCTACTGAGCCACAAACAAGGACAACATGGGATTCTCGAGTGCCTGACAGAGTGAACGCATGTACAAGCCAAGCACACATGGTGCACCTTCAGGGAACACAGCAACTTTATGATGTCAATTTTCAAGGAACATGTTTATATGGATTTTGAAGAGTCTTGTTTGCTGATAAGAACTTCAAGAAGTCGGAGCTTGGCTTTAATTTTCTTGTACTCCTTATATTCCTCAAGCACTGGAACACGATCCTCCTTCTGGGCATTCCTAGGGAAGATAAACACTGTAAAATACTGCAAGTTTGTCCTACCTTTATACTCCTATTTTTTTTTTACACTTCTTTGTATGTATGTATGTGTACACTTGTGGGAGAAAGCAGAGGTAAAGCTTGGGTGTCTTGTCCACCTTGTTTTTTGAGGCGGGCTCTCCCATTGCCTGAAGCTGGCTGACTGGTAACTAGCTGGATGTTGAGCCCAGTGATAAAGCACTTGCACGCCTCATATCTGCTTGGGTTCTGAGGATCACAATTAGGCCCACCTACTTGCATGGCAGACACTTCACTGACTGACCCATTTCCCCAGAACACTCACACACACACACTCACACACACACACACACACACACACACACACACACAACTCTCTCTCTCTCTCTCTCTCTATATATATATATATTATATTATATATAATCCATATGCTAACCCATATGGATGTGAAACTCTAAAATACAGCAGGGGCCAGGAATACTTTGGAATTTGTAACAGCTACTGGTTTGACAGGGCCACTCAGTTACTCAAAAACCTTTTTGCGAGTTAATTTACCTCCCTCTGCGCACTGCTACTTCTTTTAAAGTGTGCGTACAGGTACCCCAGGAGCCCCAGAAAGACATCTGTCACCCTCCATCACTCACTGAAGAGCCTGAAGCTTGCTAGGTTTTTATTAAACTGGCTGCTCAGTGGGGCCCAGGGAAGCCAACACTCGGGGTACAGGTCAACTATGCATACCAGTTAGGTAAAGATATATGGCACACTGGCCGATAGCCACACACCTACACACCTCTCTCTGAGTAACCTGGGTAAGCCGACAAGCAGCCTAACCACAACAACAACTTGAGCTTACCTCAGGACAGAAATCCAGCAGGGAGTAATTAATTCCTCAACTCAGAAATAAGAGGATCGCTGAGTTAGGGCCAGCCTGGTCTACATAGTCCAGGACAGCCAGGGCTATATAAAGAGACTCTTTAAAAACCACCAACAACAAAAAATCCCAGTCAAAAATTTCATGACTGTGGGCTCTAAGACATATCTTGTACCAGGCAGGGTGGCTCACACTACCAATTCTTTAATCTGGTCTACAGAGCAAGTTCTAAACTAGTCATGGCTGCAAAATGAGGTCCTATCAGAAAAAGATAATTTTATAATCACTTCTAAACAATATAAAGTCACTGTGGGCTGGGGATGTAGCTCACTGGAAGAGTGTTTGCCTCATATGATCATGGTTTTGAACTACAGCACTGCAAACAAGAAAATTGCTGCAGGAAAAACTTCAAATATTTATGGGATGTTTACTCCAGTTATGACTTTTCCTTCATTTTAGTAACAACAGGTCTTGAAAACATAAAAGAATGTTATAAAATTGGCCAAGAAAGATGGTGCACGCCTTTAAACCCAGTACTTGGGAGGCAGAGGCAGGTGGATCTCTGCGTTTGAGGTCAGCCTAGTCTACAGAATGAGTTCCCAGAACAAACCCTGCCTCAAAAACAAAAAGAAAGTTTAAATTTTTCTTTTTTTATCTTTTGCAGGGCTAGGGATTAATCAAGGGCCTTGCACATGCAGTAAGCTACAGCTTTAGCCCTGAAATGCTTTTATGCTACCTCGCTGTAAGCAACATGTAATTTCTTAGTGTGGGAGAGCAGGAGGGCACGTCAGCTCTGACACACATGTGGAGGTCAGAAGATGCCTCTTAGGAGCTGTGCTTTTCTTCCCTTATGTAGGTCTTGGAATCAAGCTGGCAGCAAGCATCTGTACCTGTTGTTTCTAACCCCATGTATTCCATTATCTTAACATACATTTCTTGAGTTAAAGGAGAAAGATGTCAATATCTACAATGTTTCACAAACCTTCCATTTTGTTGATAAAACGCTTCTTCAAATTCTCGTAATGTTTTACGTAGTTTCTTTTTCTCAGCTCTTGCTTTCCAAAGCTGTTCCAGTAATTCAGGCCTAAAATTTAAATGGAAACAAAACATTAGTAAATAGTACAGTTTCTTTGTTATATTAACAGTGGTTATAGCCCTGGCCGTAGCTGACTGACTTTTAGAAACATACCAATGTAAACCAATCATTACAAACCAATCAAATCAAAGTAGCTGGAATTAAGGTTCCAGTCTCACTACTTATTTTTGGGGGTGCTGTGTGTGGGGATTGCTCAGCTGATGAAGTGCTTGCTATGCAACCTTGAGGAACTTTATTCTCAGAGCCCACATATACGTGCAGTGGTGCACCTATAACCCAGCTCCTGAAGCATCCCTGTGACTTGCAATCAGCAATGACAGCCAATGACAGCTCTCGTCTCAAAAAGGGCTGGGTGTGGGGAGAATGAGTAGAGAAAGCAAGCTCAGAGTTAAAAGCACTGGCTGCTCTTCCAGAGGACCCTGGTTCAATTCCTGGTATCCACGTGGTGGCTCAGAACTATAGAAAGTCCTCTCCTGGCCTTCAGGGGGCACCAGGCAAACAGTGCAGAAACATACATACAGGCACAGCACCCATACACATAAAAATAAGTAAAAATAAAAGGATGATGGAGAAATGGCTCAGCAGTTACAAACACGCACTACTCTTGCAGAGGACCTCAGTTTGGTTTCCAGCACCTACGTGTCAGGCAGCTCAATATAGCTCCACATTCTCCATCAAGAGAATCACAATCACTGTTCCGACCTCTAATGGCACTCAGCACACACACACACAAATCCACACAAACATTTAAGTAAAATTAAATCTTAAAAAAAGTACAAAAAAACTGATTAAGAGTATTTTTCAAAAAGGGGAATATCCAAATTTGTCTTCGGATTTCTTACACACACACAAGTGGACACACATAAAGAGCTCACAAACACACACACACACACACACACACACACACACACACACACACACACACACCTTCCTGGTTAATTTTTAAAGTGAAGGGCTGAGAACCATTGTCATAAATCAGTCTAAAGGCAAACAGGCCAATAAAGGACAAATTCTCAGTTGGTTCCTATAACTGTTATGAATTTAATATAATTTTTTCCAATTGATATACATTATTTTATTACAACTTAAAAAAATTCAACATCCTAAAAAAAAATTTTACTGGTAATACCAATTCCTATGAAGTTTTGTTTTTGCTACCATAAGAAATTAAAGAAACCGTTAAATCTAACTGTACTTTGTAGCCCCTGAAAAAGCTACAAACTCCTTTTCTTAAAATGTATTTTTCTACAAAGAATCTCATCAGCTATACAAAAATCTATAGTTTTTATACTGAAGCTAATATTGAGCTACACCTGAATTTCACATTCTTAGCAAAATAGTTGCCTGAGCACATAAACACTCCACACAGCCATTTTAGGACAGCCATTTATTCTTCCTCCTCTTCATCATCATCTTCTTCCTCCTCTCCTCCTCTTCTGGTTCATTCTTCTTTGGGCCTGCTGGCCTCCCAGGCCTCCTTTCCTACTTCACTTTTACCCTTAGCGCGGTATGCAGCAATATCCTCTTCATACTTCTCCTTTAGTTTAACTGCCTTCTGCTCACATGGTTGTTTATCTTTGGCAGGTTGTTCAGACCACATCTCACCCAGCTTCTTTGCAGCATCTCCAATAAATAGGCCCAGGCACTCACTTTTGACCTTTGGGCGATGTTCAGAGCAAAACAGGAAGAAGGCAGACGGTGGTCTTTTTGGAGCATTAGGATCTTTTTTCTTCCCTTTCCTATCCCCTTGGCAGGAACATAATTCTTCATCTCCCTGTCATAACGAGCTTTGCCGCTCTTGGCCACATCTTCAGACTTCGACTTCTCCTTTGCAGACACGGTCCTCCAGCTCTCGGAGCAGTCTTCAAGAACCCGGCGAGGTCAATGGAGGAGTCAGGTGCTTCTTCTCTGCTCCTCCCTGCAGGTCTGCACAAAGGCGGCGGACGAGGACATCTTGCCCCGTGGCTTGTTGGGGTCTCCTTTGCCCATGCTGTCGGCGCGTGGTGTCCAACCTGCTAGCACGAGCTCTTCCCTCAAGGCCCGAAGGAAAGACTTCCTTCCCCAAGCTCTGGTGAGAACTGGCTTCTTAATACAATTTTTAATTGAAATATCTAATAAAAAATAGGAACCACAGGCTCGGGAGATGAGCTTAGCAAGTCACAGTGCTTGATACAAGCCTGACACCTAAGTCTGGATCCCTGAAACCCATTTAAAAAGTCAAGCAAGGTGTCATATGTCTGTAATTCCAGCACTGTATGGCCATGCAAGCAGGGTGGAGACAACACAAAACCACAAGAGACCTTGCTTTAAACAAGGTAGAGGGTGAGAGCCAACACCTTAAGGTTGGCCTTTAACCTCCACACATCCTCTTCACAGAATTTTAAAATGGGAAGTACTTGTATTTCATCCACAGCTTCACCAAGAAAAAAAAAAAAAAAAAAAAAAAAGGAAGGAAATAGGAACTACAATTTGTCTGTCTAAATAACTCATAAAAAGTACCTCACACAAGCAATTCCTGATAATCTCTTAATAGTAATCCCTGCTAAGCATTCAGTGTTTAGGTATTCCATAGCAGGTATTTTGCTATGGAATAAGCTAAAACCACAAACCCTCATACATACATAGACGCTGCCCGAGTACTTGACAAGCGGAGATCCCGAGCCAGTTTTTCTTGACTTTCTTCAGCATCAGATTCTGAATTTTCCAATGATGACTGTGTGTACACAGCTGTTTTTAAGATGTCACTTAACTCGGAGGACAGACTAACACCATCTTCCTCTTCTTCCTAAAATGACAACCAAGCAGAGCCACACAGGCCATGACTTTCCACTTTCCTGTTAGGAGTGTAACTAGAGAAGGACTTTTCTACAACAATTACCTTGATTTCTTCAAAAAAGTGTGCCGTTTCTCCTTCTATGATTGGCTGTAACATCTGACCCCGGCGCTTGGTGGAGGGAGACCCCTGTAACAATCAGCAACACCAAGTTTTATATTTCACAGATTTAAGGTATTTAAGTACAGCTTCACATTTCTATCACATGATGTTACTCTCAGCTAATAGAGGCCTTTAGTCTTCAGCAGCTCCCCCAAAACTCCAAGCAAACAAAACTCAAAACAGACAACCTAAAAAAATAAACAAGAGAAAAAAAACAAAACAAAAAACAAAAAATGCATAATCCCCCCCCCCCCAAAAAAAACCCATGGAGTTTGTGGTGGCCAACTACTTTTTCAGGTTTTCTTTTTTGAAAGAGCAAGAACATGAGGGTGGGGGTTAGGAAGGTAAAAAGAATATGGGAGATTTGGGGGAGGGGACAAATACAAACAAACATATTGTATGCATTTTTTCAATAAAAATTTAAAAAAATCTATAAATATTAAAGCAATCTTTTAAATGTTTAAGAAGCTCTATAATAAACTCAAATATTTTCTTTTGATACGATAGCTAGGATGGTCTCACAGGAGCTCATGCCTGCTACACATCTTTGAAACGCAAGAGAACAAAGCGAGATGTATAGACGATGATGTTGACAATGGTGGTTATTCGTTTTACTTCAGCCTTCTTTGTCTGCGACAGGGTTTCACAGGCTGGTTATGTGGATTATGAGATGGATGCTCCTGCCTCAGCCCTCTCATGTGCTATGGTAACAGGCAAGTGTCACCACACCCAGCTCAAGTATCTTTATTCTTGGGTCTGAGGACCCCATCAGATTCTTCTTTAAGAAACAAAACTAAGCCAAATAAAGCTATCTCTCTGGCTCCATGAATTAGCATTGCTTGATTTAATTAATTGTTTTTGTTTGTTTGCTTTTTGAGACAGGATTTCTGGGGAGCCCTGGTTGTCCTGGAACTCACTCTGTAGACCGGGCTGGCCTTGAACTCAGGAGATCCATCTATCTCTGCCTCCCCAGTGCTAGGATTAAAAGGGATGTGCCATCACCACCCAGCTTAGTTTTGTTTTTGTTTGTTTGTTTGTTTGTTTGTTTGTTTTTTCAAGACAGAGTTTCTCTGTGTAGCCTTGGTTGTCCTGGACTTGCTTTGTAGACCAGGCTGGCCTGGAACTCAGAGACTGGCCTGCTTCCGACTCCACAAGTGCTGGGATTACAGGTGCGTGTCACCATGCTTAGCTTAGTTTTGTTTTTTTGAGACAGGGTCTCTCTTTACGTAGACCCCTCTTGTCCTAGAACTTCCTATGTAGACTAGGCTGGCCTTGAACTCACTGACATAGCCTGCCTTTAGTGTTAGGATTAAAGGCATGTGCCAGACACCTAACAGTAGTTGTAATTATCTTAATAGGTTCTTTTAAAACCATTTTTAGGGTCAACAAGATAGTTCAGACTCACTGCCAAGCTTGACAACCTTGAGTTCAATCACTGAGAATACTCATAATAGAGAGAACTGACTCCCCCAAAATCTGTTCTCTGATCTCCATACTCTTACCATGGCACACATGCAAACCCCTAAATAAATGTTTAAAAATAACTATTATAATGTAATTAGAGGTGCTCATTAAAAAACTATCCAGAGATAAGAACTGAAATAGAATAGGTGAGGGGTGCCACACACAAGTACTACTTTCACCATCTATGCAGGTATAAATCTGCATAGAGTACTCCCTGGATCTCAGTATGATATTCTAATTTGTATTGTCAAGATTTAGTGCCATATGCCTGTAAGTGCTTACCGAGGTACCTAGAAATAGTCATGGGCATTTTCTATCCTTTTAAAATCCATAATCTCAACTAAAACCTTCAGCTTTGAATGTGTATGTCTCCAAAATACTATTTCCTTTTTTTCTTAAATACACTTTGGCAAAATAAACTGAAGAAATACTTGTGCCAGGCACGGTGATGCATGCCTACAATTACAGAAGTTAAGAGTCTTGCTCGATCGGACTAGTGAGCTCCAACCTAGTTTTGGCTACAAAGTGAGACCCTGTCTTTAAAAACAAAACCAAGCATTTGTTTTACTTACAAGGATAGGAGTAATGCTAGCTCTTGTCAGCATCTGTTTTACAAGCCTGTATCTATCATAGAGAGGCTTAACAATGTGCCTTTCTTCCCTGGTCACCTGAAGCCAAAAACAAAACAAAACAAAACAACACAACAAAAAAAAAGTGAAGCAAAGTAGCCTTACTAACAGAAATCTAGTTATCAAAAACAACAGACATATGATTCCCTCACCCCAAATATAAGTAAGTAGACAATCTCCCAACTATAGGAAACAATGTTTGACAAAAAGAGCCCTGAAGAATACAGACCACAGAAATGATTCGTGCTCTTTTGTAAAGTAGAAGTCAAATGTTTTAGCAAGAGAGGAATTACCGGCCTTCCATGTTGACTTTCATAGTAAAGCAGACTTTTCTGTAGAGACATTTTCTCTTCTATCAAATGATCTTTTGTCATTTTCTAGATAGGGGAGAGGGAAGGGAAGCACTGGTATCATTATTCTCCTTATGGCCACAGCGTAATTAATTAGGTAAAAGGGCAGATGGTCAGCAATATAGATTAGGCAAATGCATTCTTTGCTTATGGATTTACAGCAACATTTTTCAGTCTCCTATACAATCTAAGCCTCCTAATACGTCAATGAGTACCTTTTTATGGCTTAATTTATATTTTGTATGAATTATGAATGCAGGTTTGCGTATCTTAGCCATCTTGTGTTCAATATCCCAATCTATGAATCAGTAATATTCCATTCTGCCTCAAAGGGCTCAAAGACTAAAGTCATCGATATAAAGTAAAAGCACTTGAAACAGTGCCTATTCAGCACATAGGAAATTTTCATAACTTCCTGACATTTTATAATGTTGCAAAGTCTTTTGTTAGAGCAATCACAAATAAGGACAGAAAGCTGGCTTAGTGAATTTAAAAGTGCCTCATCCACAAGTCTAAAGACCTCAATTCAATCCAAGTTCAATCTGCACAGCCCATGGTGGAAGGAGAGAACTCCTGACAGTTGTCTTCAGACTTCCCCATGTACGCCATGGCATGCACACCTGCACTCACACTCAGATATCAACAATCTAAATTGGAAAAAGAAAAAAGAAAAAAAAAAAAGACTAGTGAACAAACAGGGCCAGGCACTGTGGTGCAGAGACCTATAATCCTAGCATTCCAGAGGTAGAAGCAGGAAGAATCACAAATTTAAAGTCAATGTGGCCTGCAAGATGAGAGGGAGCCTTTTTCAACGGACTGCTGATGTAATTCAGTGGTACATCACCTGCCTAGTTTTGTGTAAGGGCACCTGAATTCTATCGGTACCAAAAATAAATATAGATAATAGGCAGGTAGGTAGGTGGGTGGGTGGGTGGGCAGGCAAATGGACAGATAAGATACGAGTCACCAAAGAAAAAAGACTAGTGGGCGCAGACACACATTTTAATACATAAACAGATTTGATGACTGTGTCTCCACTCTACCAGTACAGTGAAAAGATCCTAGAGAAAGCTCAAAAATGTCAACTTGCAACCTTAAGCCTCCACTCTATGACCTCAAGTTTCCCTTAGAATAGGCAGACACATTCTTTCCAGTGTAATACAACTATCTTCCCTTTTAACACTCAGAATGGTAGAGTAGACAGGACTCCCTGGATTTACATATAGAATGTTCCCTTTGTCCCACAGGCTCATCCATTATCTCAATAGATCAAATAATGTTCCACAAGGCACCCTTAACCCATACCAAATAAACACTATGTATTTCCAGGAATGGTTAACAGTTCTCAGTATCTCCCCAGTTGAGTTTAGAGATTACAATTCCCTGGACAGTCAATCCATATAACAAATATCACTTCAGATTACACCTATGCAGCAGGCAGTAACAATGTAGACCCTATAAAATACTGTTAATTTCAAGTTTGAACCTTAAAGCTAAGATTATAAATCTGTAGCCAGCTAATGCAAATCAAATTACTTGCAGGGAGAGGAGACTGCTGCCTAACAAAAAGCAAGATGGCAAAGAAAAAGCTGAAGGAAGGGATAAGAATGACTAATTTAGCTTGTTCTAGGGAGACACAGATTCCAAAATTTAGATCACAAGGAGGTATATTCTGTTGACAAAATATGTGTCTGGTTCATGACTGCCTAGACAAAAATTCACCTGACACTATTTCCCTGGCAATCTCACCTCACATATGACTAGTTACCAAGCGACACCCCCCCCCCCCAGGGTCTCATGGAGGGCTGTCTGGTGTGGTGGGGCCTACAGTGAAATCTCGTCTGAGAACAGGACACTCCACAGTTGCCATCGGCCTCCATGCAACTGGAGGGGCAAGCACCCCATGTGCGTACACCGTACACTGGAGTTGTGCTTCCTACAAAATGTAACCCATGTCAGCCTGCCACCAATTAACATCACCTGGGGTTTGTTGGGTGTTGCTGTTTTTATTTTGGTTTTTGAAGACAGGGTTTCTCTGTGTAGTCCTGGCTTCCTGGAATTGACTCTCTGCAGACCAGGCTAGCCTTGAACTCACAGGGATCCACCTGCCTCTGCCGCCTAAGCTACCACCACCCAGCTTGTTTTAAGATTTACTTATTTATGTATTTAACTACCATTGGCATGTATGCCTGCATGACAGAAGGCATCAGATCCCATTACAGATGGTTGTGAGTTACCAAGTGGTTGCTGGGAACTGAACTCAGGATCTGTGTAAGAGCAGCCAGTGCTCTTAGTGCTGAGGCATCTCTCCAGCCCCCTCCCCCTTTTTTTTCTTTTCTTTTCTTCTTCTTCTTCTTCTTCTTCTTTTTTTTTTTTAAGTTTATGTGTCATGTGGCCCAGGCTGGGGTCAAACTCACTATGTAGCTGAACTCCTGATCCCCTGCCTCCAATTCTCCAGTATTTGGATTACAGATTTGTGCCACCATGCCAGGCTTTCAAGATAATATTTTTTCAATGGCTAATATCACATCTATCTCTCTCATAGGATTGCTGGAAAAAAAAAAAAAACCAAGTGGCAGAATCCACATAGTTTATACCAGACACCGACAGGTTATGATACCAAGAAACTCAATACACACAGCTGCTGTTCAAACTCAGCCATTTCACGCTCCACACGTTCATCTTGCTGATGGTCTGCAACATGCATGAATACACAGTACTCTAGGTTCTGAAAGCATAGTTTGGAATTGCAGATATGAAGGGTAGAAAAGTCAGGATCCTCAGCTTCCCCCTGCCATGCTAGTTAGTCTGTCTCAGGTCTGTCTAGAGGACGCCCCAGGCAGAGATGGAAAGCCCAGCACTACCTTGATATCCTCTGGAAGGTGCCGCTCAACACGGTTTTCCTTCAGTCGCTTTGTAATCAGCTCAAGAGTTGCTTCCTTAGATGGCTTCTTCTCTTTCTGAACGACTCTAGGTTCACCTTCGTTCTCATCATCTTCATGGTCTAGAGAAGAGCCAAAACTTTTTGGAAGAGTGTTACTCCGAGGCCGTGTCTGAGGCACAAATTCTCCATCAGAGTTTTTGTGTTTTGCATCTAAATTTCAGAAGAAAGAGGATTAATAATGATAGCATGCAGACCACATATTTCAAGGTTACACACTTAGCATACAGCACACTTGTCCCTTCAGACACTATCACATGGGGTCCACTGTACTGCACAATACTCTGATAAACACGAAAAGAAGTGAACTCCAGGGTCAACAAAGACCCTGTCTCAAAACAATCTGAGCATGGGCAGGGTACGGTGGCACACACTTTTAATCCCAGGACTCAGGAGGCAGAGGCAGGCAGGTCTGAGAGTTCAAGGCCATCCTGGTCTACTGGGTGAGTTCCAGGACAGTCAGGGCTACACAGAGAAACCTTGTCTCAAAAAAAAAAAACAACAACAAAAAAAACCCTGATTTTTGAGGACTGAGGAAAGTATGTGACATTGAACTCTAGCCTGCACATGCACACAACAAAATAATAAAAGTGGTGGGAGTCACAGTGATGATAAAAAGAGTGTGTTGTGGATATAAGCATGGTTTTCTTTTGGTCCCAGGTGTGGGATGTGGGGCTGATTCAGATGGTCCACAGCTGCGGACTATTTGCCTCATGCGGCCTCTGAGAGGAGCTCTTTGCCAGCTGCAGATAGTTTAAATCTGAGGACTCTGGAGAGAGAATAAATGCCAGAGGCCAGAGAGTGGGAGCTCCAAGAAAGAACAAGGCGGCTGCTGCTTCCCCTTTGCTGCTGCTAGTTGCTGCTGTGAGACAAGTTGGAGATCTCCTGAAATGAGGATTGGACTGCCTCCAAGGAACCCGAAGACCCTAACCAGCTGGAAGCAGCTAAGAAAGAGAACTGTGACCCCTCTCCCACTAACCCTTTCTCTCTCCTCCCTGGTGTAGGGATGATGGAAGGGACTGGGGTGGAATAGGAAGAAAGATATAAGAAATGTAAATAAAAGTTTTAAAACAGTACGACAGCAGGAGTGTGGTTTGTGGAAGAGGAAGAATACTAGACAGGGTTAACAAAGAAGGGCTCACTGAATGTTGTCAATCTAGTTGAACATGGAATTAATAGGATATTCTACATTCAACTAAACCTCAACAGAAGACTTAGGGAAAAAGCATTTGTGCCCAACTAAGGCATCAGCCTATGCAAAAAATCCTAAATTTCTCCAAGTTTGAGAACAAAAAACGGAGACATTAACATGATAAAAATCTACAAAGGGCAATATGTGCAAGCTATTCAAAGTTTGGACTTAGAACATTTTCAAAAGATAATTCTGGTTTCTGTGCAAGGGATGAACTATAGGACAGTAAGAGTGGAAGAGAATTGGAGTATCAGACTACTTAGTCAATTGAATTGTAATAATTAATGGATAACAAGTGGTTAGTTAAATAAGGAAATGCTTAATAGAATAAAGAATAATCCTTAAAAAAAAAAAAAAAGACGCAAAAGAAATTACCGTAACCACAAGACTCTGAAGTCCACAGTATCTGAACACTTAAAATACTAAAGAGATTAAAATTTCCACACTGAGCCAGGCAGTGGTGGTGCTTGCCTTCTGTCCTAGCACTGAAGAGGCAGAGGCAGGCGGACCTTTGTGGGTTTGAGGCCAGCCTGATCTACAAAGTGAGTTTCAGGACAGCCAAGGCTACAAAGAAAAACCCTGTCTCAAACACTCCTCCTCCCCCGCAAAAAAATTCCACACCGAGTAAAGTTCAAATGAGAAAAACAAAAACACTGATGCAAATGTAAGCCCTTTCATTACACAGGTAACTTTTAAAGTAATTTTAATTATTAAAACATACTCAGTAAATACAGAATAAAGAGAACTTCACAATATTAACACTAGATTTTTAAAATTTATTATTATTATTTTGTTTTTTTCAAGACAGGGTGTAATCCAGACTTTTCTGAAACTTGCTCTACAGATCAGGTTGGCCTCAAACTCAGAGATCAGCCTGCCTCTATCTCTCTAGTGCTAAGATTAAAGAGGTATGCCCGAAAAGAGGTACCACCCAAAAAGTGTAACTACAGCTTGCATAGAATTATAAATGCTTTAAAGATGCAGATTTTTCCACAAAATGCACACTTGTACCTTTAATTTGCTTCCGCAACTTTGTAAGCTCTGTCATCCACTTTAATACCTTCGGATTGGCTGCAATGTCACTGTAGGAGGGCTACAAAGTTAGGGAGAAGGGTCACTGACAGCTGCAATGCATAATAGTCATCTTAATTTATTTCCCATAGTATCTTATAGCTTCCACAACACAAATTTCATTCAATTCCCGCTTTATTTTAATTTGAAGCAGGGTCATACAACTGGAAGGAGCCAGGTTTGAAGGCAGTTCTCTTATTTCTAGGCATTAGACTCTTTTTACATACAGGTTCTGATTTTTAGAAGCAAGTGCTTTCTTCATTTCCTCCCTCCCCTTTTGTTACTTGTGGTTTGTGTCAGAAAAGGACTTCGACTTGTTAACATAAAGAATTTGGCTTACAAATTGTAAAAATTGTTTGCAAATGGAAACATAAAAATGCACTGGTATAAAACCAAGAATCCTGGCACAGAAATCAACTAAGGACACACTGGTTCTCAGGTTTGTAGGATCCCCACTACTTCCCTAGCATCACAGATGTGCTCTCTCAGGGAAGAGTGGAGCACACTCTCCAGAGACGCTCCCCTCGGCTCTAATAGGAATGCAAGCTTGTTCTAGGCAGTGCTGCAAACTTACCTTGCTATTTCTTTCCCTTTCAAATTGCTCCTCGAATTGTCTGATTTTTTTCTGAAGTTTCTTGACCAACTGATAAGGTGTTCTGTCTTCTCTTTTTTCATCTTTTGAACTAAAGGATGACCTTCGAATTCTGAATTAAAACAGCCCAACATGATGTATTAAATCTCCAAGTGTCAACATGGTATTACTTATTGTCCTGCTGTGTTCCTATTACCAGTAAGGATATCACAGAAGTAAAGAAAGGGGCAGCTTGAAGGCATGAACACAATAATAATAATTTTAGATGAAATTAAACCTCTAATACTAAAGGACAAATAAGTCAGCTACCATAGACTGTAACAAAGAGTCTCAGCTGGAGAGGTGACTCAGCACTTAAAAGCACTGCTGCTCTTCCAAGAGGACCCAGGTTAAGTTCCCCGAACCTACATGGCAGCCCACAACCATCTGTAATTCCAATCCCAGGGCATCTGACAGCTTCTTCTGGCCTCTGCAGGCATGCACTTCACATGCACAAACCCACACAGGAAAACACATGCACATAATTAAAATGAGAGAAATAGGAAATATATTTCAATGACCAAGATTTCTTATTAACTTCCTGTCATTTAGGCAGCTTAACCCACTGTTAGAAGGCAGGGTGCTGTTATGACCCTGTCAAAAGGGTTGTACTGTTTATTATTATTGTTGCTGGTGCTAACACTTGAACACGGATACACGCACGTACTCCCCTCCTCTCATGGAATTATACTATACAGAGTATCCAGGGGACTCTCTGTGAGTTCAAGGCAGTCTAGACTACAAAACAACTTCCAGGATAAGCAGAACTATAGAAGACCCTATCTCAAAATGAATGAGTGAATAACTTTTTAAATGATTCTGTGTGTCTGTACTTGCACCAGCACCCACACTGGCAGAGGCAGAAGATCCCCTGAAGCCTGAGTTACAGGTAGTTACAAGCTGCCTGCTGTGGGTGCTGAAATCCAGTTCTGGTTGTGTACGAACACACGGCTCCTTGAACAAACAAACAAAAGGTACTGTTGTGCTACCAAGCAATCATTTCTTATTTAATATCATTTATAATGATGTTTGCTTGTTGCATTTGTTTTCTACAGAAAATATTCAGTTTCCTAATAGTACAGCATTTGAAGTATGTATTATGTTAGTTGGTTTAAATTTTTTTTATTTTAATTTTGCATATGGGGGTTGGAGGTATGCATAGAGTTCAAGTGGCCTAGAGAAGCCAGAGGAATCAGATGGTCCTAGAGCTGGAGCTGGAGTTACAAGTGGTTGTGAGCTACCTGATACAAGGGCTGAAGACGGAACCTGGGTTCTCTGCAAAACAGTATGCTCTGAATCACCAAGCCAGCTTTCCAGTCCAATATGTGCATGTGAGTGCAGGTGCCCATGGAGCCACAAGAAGGCATCAGGGCCCCCCAAAGCTGGAGTTACACACAGCTGTAAGCCACACAATATGGGTGCAAGGTACTGAACTCAGACCCTCTTTAGGTGCTTTCAGCACCTGATCCATCCTTCAGTGTTAACTTTTACAATAATACTCTTTTCATCTTAAATTTAATAACTTTAATATACTTACATTTAATACAGCATTTAATATATTCTTTTCATTATTATTAAACAAAAGAATTTTTCTAATAAAATCTATGTAAGTTAAATCTTGGGCCTTGGGATGTAGCTCAGTTGGTACCATGCTTTGCTAGCATGTAGGGAGCCTTGTATGTGACCCCTCGTACCACATAAACCATGCACAGTATGCATGCCTGTGACCTTAGCACTCGGGAGGTATCTGGGCGACATAACACCCTGCCTCTAAGTAAAAAGGTTAGACTTTTATAATTTGTGAAAATTAAGCTGCTTTTATTAACAGTTTGCAGGTATTTTACCTATGCAAGTTTTGGGTTTTGGAGGGGTGGGGAGTGAGGTGGCCATGAGACAAGGTTTCTCTGTGTAGCCTGGCTGACCTGGGACTATCTCTGTAGGTCAGGCTGGCCTCAAACCCAGAGGTCTACCTGGCTCTGCCTCCCAAGTGCTGGGATTAAAAGTGTGCACCACCACCTCCTGGCTTGGTGCAAATATTTTAAAGCTCTTATATAACTTGAATTTTATTTTTGGAAAGTTAACCTAAAATCATCTTGCCATGCTTCTGAGCCTACTGGGACTGCTGCCTCTGCAGTGAGAAGAGGCCACTGAGGACTTTGTGTGTTTTAAACATCTGTCCCAGTTCTTCACCATTCCCTAGTACAGTGTGTATCCAGGTCAGCCATCTGGGGCCACTCCCATCTCAGAATGGAGGCAGAACGAGAAGCACGGGGTTCCTGGAAGGAGCCATTCTCCCTACTTGTGAGATACACATAACAGGCTCCACAGTCTGATGACTCAACAGATTCCCAGCCCAAAAAAGTCCCTCCTGTACTAAGGAGCATGTCCAGTTTGCAGACTAGCTGGAAGAAAGTAGTATTAAATGTTAACCTATGGCTACCCAAATTTTCCACAGATGCAACAGCAACTCTGAAGCAGCCTCCCTTGATTTGGAGGCATTCTTTGAAAGAGAATGTGCACTTCATGTGCACTATCAAATCTATCTTCTCTGACCATCAAAGTTACCAGAATGGTAAGATGATCAACAAAGAACGTGTTTGCTATGTAAGCCCGAAGGCCTGAGTTTGACTCCCAGAACCCACGTAAAGGTGGAGGAAAAACTGACTCTACAAAGTTGTTCATTCATTCTCACCTGCATGCCATGGCATAAGAGAGCCCTGTCCTCAACACAAAATCATACAAACAGTAATACATTTTAAATTTGTCTGAAAAGAAGTAATCAGAGCTTCCATTTTCAAGAGCAAAATTTTCTAAACATGAATGGCAAGCTGCACTCTCAAGGAACACTAAGTTACCAGAATGCTCTTTAGGATGCTTTTAAGTTAACTTTCCAAACTAAAATTCAAGTTATATAAGAGCTTTAAAATACTTGCACAAGACAGGAGGTGGTGGTGCACAGCTTTAATCCCAGTACTTGAGAGGCAGAGGCAGGTAGATCTCTGAGCTTGAGGCCAGCCTGGTCTAGAGAGTGAGTTCCAGGAATGGGAAACCTGTTGCTCTTTCCTCTATTATTTCATGAAGTGTTGTGTTGGAATTCTTAGCAAACTCTGGTTTCTTGATACTGTTACAACTCCATAATCTGGAAAAGCATTACAGCTTGAATCTGGAAGACAGACACTGCTGTCTGGAACTGCTGAACCAAATGAAGGTATGCGACTCTACAGGAGAGACAACATTCCTTTTCATTAAGTTTCCCTATCTAGCTTGGACATTTCTGGGATTTTTGTTGTTGTTTTTCTTTCTTTCCTTTCTTTCTTTCTTTCTTTTCTTTCTTTCTTTCTTTCTTTCTTTCTGCTGAACCAAATGAAGGTATGCGACTCTACAGGAGAGACAACATTCCTTTTCATTAAGTTTCCCTATCTAGCTTGGACATTTCTGGGATTTTTGTTGTTTTTCTTTCTCTTTCTTTCTTTCTTTCTTTCTTTCTTTCTTTCTTTCTTCCTTCCTTCCTTCTTTCTTTTCTTTCTTTCCTTTCTTTTCTTTCTCTTTCTTTCTTTACACACACATAAAGACACAGAGAGAAAGACACACACACAATGTAGAGATCAGAGATCCACTTGGCAGTGGCATGTTAGCTCCTTCTGGAAAGTATGTGCATTCTATGATGCTGCAAGAAGATTCCAGAATCACTATGCCAATTAAAATTAAAATTAGGTTTCAATTAGAACAGTAGAAACTCGTCAGCTTCTCCCTTTCAGAATTGTGCATTCCAGTGACAACAAATAAGTGAGAAGTAAACCACAGGAACTGCCCAGTCTAACAGTAAACCCTAAGTACTACATAAATTTCAATAAACTCAAAGTGTGATAGCCGGGGAATTATAAAACACGCTTCAGGGATGGGGGTGACCACTTTCAACTACAGACCTGAAAGGATATATTATACAGAGTGACAACTGCCTCTCAAATACATGAGAACACGTACCTAGTGAAGGAAAGGGCCTTTGACGAGAAATCCAACGCCTCTGGATCATGTAGGAACCGCTGGCTTTGCCCAAAATCTAAACTACGATGTGACAATACTGGAGGGCAGTCCTCTCCCAGGGGATGGGGAGTCATCCTTGCAGCCTGTGGAGACAGCTGAGCTTCTCCAGACTCACAGTCCTCCTGCCAAGACTTAAATGCGGGAAATGGCTCTATGAAACAAACACAAGAACAGGATGATGGGTATCTTGAGGTCTACCTCACTGTATAGTGGATTCATTATATATGTATATTATATAATGAAAAACATCAAAGAAATACTAGCATATTCATTAATGCCTGCTGTGGTTTAAAAGTATCCAAGCTTCATTCTTCACATTCTCTCATTAAGAAATACCCCTTAAATGTATAAACTCAGTAACACAGCAAAAAGATCAGTAGTAAGTTTCTTAAATTTAATTCTAAACTGTCATTTAACATAATCCCTACTCAATATCCTAAAGCTTTTGTATAGAAAAACATTTTTTTCAAATACAAGTCTTTCCTTAGAAACAGTGAACACTCAGGAGGTGCATAAACTGTTTCTCACTATCAGATGGTAGCTGGCCATTTTAAAATATAAACGGTTTCCCCACACTACACAGAATACTAAGAAATGGAGCTAACAACGTACAAATTTTAATATTCCAAATTAGAAGTTAGCCTGTCTGTAATATGTTAAATAAAAAGAAATAATGTTAACTTTTAACATTAAAATAGTGGTAGTTATTTTCTGTAATGGGGTTCCCATAATTTTATAAGAAACACACACACACACACACAGACACACACCTCTTATCCCCACAACAATATTTAAATGAAAATGAACCAGCACTGGTTGTCCTTACACACATTAATTTTATTACAGGGATCCTGAATCCTCTTTACTGAAGCCATGTTAATATAATCTATGTCTCTGCTCATACACACCATCTACAAATACATTAACTTCAGGCATCACTGGAGGATGGGAGAGGGAGGGTCGCTCAGCTATACATCAAATTTAAAATTAAAATTTTAAATCTTAATGAGGTAGTTATTACAAAAGCAAAAAATGAATGAGACAATGGATTAACAATATCAAAATTTTAAAAAGTTGTCTTTGTTAGACAATAATCAAAACAGCCATCTCAGCACTTTAATGCTACCTATTAGCCATTTAAGCATTATCTTTTAACAGGTTTTAGAAAATAACTTAGCTTGCTTTTGAGGCCTAGATCAATTTGGTGGCTAAAGTGTGGGTAACAGGTATGTAATCCCACAATAAGCTCAGCAATACAGTGACTTCAAAGCAACCCTTATACCTCTGTCCCAGCAAATACAATAATAATGAGCACTTTATAAAAAATTGCCAAGTTTCAAGTTTCAAGAAAAGAAATAACAAAAACTTTTTTCTGAGTTTTTAATACAAAAGTTTTCCTAAGATTTGGGAACAGCAGGAGAAGGGCAAATGAAAAGACAAAGTGAACCACGAAAGGAAAAAACTAAACTATGGTGAACCATACTTACCCTCCCCAGATCTCTGCAGGTGCATTGTTTTGAAATCAATGAGGGGGAAAGTGATAAGGCATGACGCTAATAAAATGGAAAAAATGGCAAAAAATACTAAAGTGAACACACAGAACAAGCAGAACAAACCATACACATAACACAAAGCCAAGGATACCAAAAACATTTCCCTAAGACCAGCTGGGAATTCTGCTCAAAAACTTAGTTCAAAGAAATGACTACTAACCAAACTTTAAGCGAACATACATTTCTATTTCAGCAAGTAAGGCAAACTCAAAAGTGATTGATACTATACAAGGTTGAAGAGCCAAAGCATCTTAACCAGGTACAGTTGAAGCTTTTTAGTATGATTGACAGAAAGAAAAAACAACTCCCTTAAAAAGCTGAGGGTATCTATTGCTAAGTAATGGAGTCCTTCTTGGCATCTTCAAGGTTCTAGTTTCAATCCCAGGACCAAGAAGAGAAAAGAAACAAAGAAAAATCTTCCCTTTATTCATGTTTCATAAAACTTACTATCGTATTCCATCCCAGTTAACAGCAGAAAAACTGAAGGAAAGATGATGTCCCCACCATTAAGACTTTTTGAACATCTACTATGAATTCATATTGGTTGTGGTAGGCATCTGTAATCTGCTTGCTGACTGTGTTCCGTGAAGTACCCGTTGAAGAAAAATAAAACCCCACTTGCTGGGGAACAGTGAGGAGGATGGCAATTTGTGGAGCCACCCCATCTCTCTACCAGACTCGTATCAAACATGACAGATTTCAAAGTCTACAAAGTCTTAAAAAAAATGGTTACCTTAGGATTTAAAAAAATATATATTCTAACACCTAAATATAGAAAAACAATATTTACATTTGTGGCATAGTTAGAACAACCTGATTAATGACAACCTTTTCCTCCCAGGGCTAGGAAGCTCACTCATCTGTCCACTAGCACTGAGTTCTTGTTTTGTTTTTAAAAAAGATTTATTTATTTTGTATATATGAGTGCCCTATCAGCATGTACACCTGCATGCCAGAAGAGGGCATCAGATCACATTATCGATGGTCATGAGCCACCATGTGGTTGCTGGGAACTGAACTCGGGACCTCTGGAAGAGTAGATGTGCTCTTAGCAGCTGAGCCATCATCTTTCCAGCTCCAGCACTGAGTTTCTGAAGGTCACTGACCCCACCCCTTCTGGAAAGAGACCTCCATGGACTCCCTGACCGATGAGTCTGGGAATAAGGAAGCAGCCCAGGCACTGAAGAGGAAGGCCTCTCCTTTCCTCTGACAAGAAGAATCCTGACCAAAGGTGAATCCAGCATCAGGCTCTCTTTGGATAACCTCCAGAAAGCTCAAGGTACAGGGAATGGTTTCTCCAAACAACAGAAAATGCTCCTTCTTCCGTGTTTAACCCAGGGTTGGAGCCTCCAGTCAGAGATCGTAAGTGGCTATTAATTTTGCGTCTCTCACACAAGAGACAAGAGTATCTGATGCTCATGTTCACAGACTCCTTGCCTACCAAGGTTCCCAATGACGCTCTTTTAGCCAGTGTTCTTTTCTACTGTTCCCTTTCCACACCAGGACATGGGAGCTTCATTGCTACCAGTATGCTAACATCTCCTAACACAAGGGAGCTTCTGCATTAATTCTAAAAGTTCCTAATAAACAGAAACCAAATTCTGACTTAGATGAGGATAAGGCTCACAATATGCCACTAGACATGGCAAAGACAGAGACCTGCAAGTGGTGGGTGGAGAGGGATCACAATAAACATTGGCACAGACAGGATTTGGTCAGAACTTTTTAAAAACGACTGAACTTTAGATTAAAACAGACATTAAAACTATGGCCAGGCAGCACAATTCCTCCGGTTATTGCCACTGTACGTCATCAATTAACCTGCCAAGAGACAACTGCAGGGGTCTCTAGCCGTATGAAAAGAAACTGGTTTTAGGACTCTGGAGTTGTCTTCTTTTCTCTTATTAGGAGGGTTTCTGCTCACAAAGATTCATGGATCCAAATTGGTTGCTTGTTTTCTGTTCTCCAAGATCTCATTTTATAGTTGATTACAAGAAAGGTAACGGAATGCCTCTACACAGCTGATAGAACTACTAATATAGCTGTTAGAGTATTACCACACTTGCTTATAGTATTTACCCATTTCCTTAGCCATCTTCTTTTTATGGACTTTCAGCTGAAGATTCTGGTGTTTTCCCAAGAAATCACTTCAGCACATAAGTTATTCACTTAAGTCCAGTATTTGTTTACAATTTATGGTTTTCTTGATGTAAAATCTTTAGCAAAAATTTTCACTATACATTTCCTAAATTTTAAGAAATGAATATGCTCATTTTGCTTGTTAAACTTAATTCCTTTGTGCAAATTTTAGGGTCTCCCCAAAATACTTTTGTAATCTACAGTACAATCTTTGTTTAGAAGCACCCTTGAAGAATTCAAAATTAATAACCTATTGCAGCTAACTATCCTGCCTAAACTGCAAATCCATCAAAACTTAAATACACTGAACTTCAAACACCAAGAGATGGTATCTATTTAATAATTAACCAAGTCTACTCTAGGGTGAATTTTACTTTTACTCCATATTGAGAGAGATGCCATAGGGAGGAGTGCTGAGATGGTCTCGTGATGTCACTCAGGGCAGGTTTGAAACTCATGATCGTCCTCCCCTCTCCTGAATGCTGAGAGTACAGGCAGGCACCACCATGCCCTTCAGCAGCATCTATTCTCAAAGCTAATGATCACACATACAATTCTACTCATGAGAAGATGCCCTACAAGTATACTTGAGGGAAAACAAGAAACCCCCCCCCCCCCCCAAGAGAGAACAGATCGGGATGACAAACACTGTGCAGAAGAGAGCAGGAGACTCATCACTGCTTTGGGTTATTTCCATTACAAATAACAATACTGGGAAATGAACATGTTTGGGTAAAATTACCTTCCCATTTATCACCATCAGAAACATTCTTCAGATCTAAATGTGCAATTTGTACACATGCTGCTTCTCCTTGAACACCAACACTCTGACCTTCGGTTACTTCTGATTCAGTGTTGGCATTCAAATCACGTATCTTGCTACTAGAATCCTGTATTTTAAAATAGAGAACGAACTTCATAACCTTGATACTTTTCACAGCTGGCTCAGAGACAATCAGCATACATATCCCTATGTATTTTTCATTATTGGCCTGACAAAACCAACTGTCCCATTTCTACTTGTGTGTGTGTGTGTGTATGGGTACTTTGCTTGCACATATGTTATATGCACCATGCATGCTTGGATCCCAAGGAGACCAGAGAGGGCATCCGATACTCTGACACTGGTTACAGATGGTTATGAGATGCCAGATTACTGCTAGGACTCAAACCTGGGTCCTATGAAAAAGGAGCTAATGTTTTGTTTTGGGTCCTTTTTCTTTTTCAAAAAATGTTTATTTGTTCATATATTTTATGTATATGTGCTTTATCTGCTTGTATGTACCTCTGCACACTAGAAGACAGCACTGAATCCCATTAATAGATGGTTGTAAGCCACCATGTGGTTACTGGGAGCTGAACTCAGGACCTCTGAAAAAGCAGAGTAGCCAGTGCTCTTAATGGCTAACCCATTATGCAAATTATATTCAAATGTAAATTTGTACTTTATAATGTTTTACTAGGAGACCAAATTTGGATCTCAAATGTAGGAAAGTACTTTCACAACCCACGATTTTGTAACAACATTTATTGCTGCTTAACTATTATACTTGACTCCTTTCAACTTACCCAATGCAAGCGCTGAATGCCAGACATAATAACTGGTACATTAATCTGAGCAACATTTTAAGAACTATAAAAAAACATAGTTCTTACCAGAATCAAATGTGGCAATTTATCACTGTCACTTAGCAAATACTCCTTCCTAAAAACACAAGTACAGTAGTTAGCATATAAAGAATAAAAAGGTTACTTTTATTACTGCTTACCTAGATTCTTCTCTTCCCCAATACAGTTAGCATTTAAAATCTGAGAAGAAAAAATATCAACAGGGCATATGCCCATTCTTTGGAGCCCTGTATCTGAAAATGACACAATACTGAAAAGGTCCACAGACTCACTTCAGGTTTAGAAAAATTAAGTAATATTCTCTCCCACATAAAACCACTCCCTCCTCACATAAAACCACCCCCAAAAGAAAAATTTTTATGAAAGAAAAATTTAAAAAACAGTGAGAACTGATGCATATTGAAAACAGAATTCATAAAATAAATATTAGCTTTAACCAACAATTTTGTTCTTTCCATGCAAAGACTTTTAAAGAGGTTTGGGTCTGTCCTTTAAGGCTGCACACTATCACAAGAATATACTGTAATACAAGGTTACTGCTTCTTGAACCCTCTCCTCATCAAAACCTAATATTTAAAAAAAAAAAAAAAAAAAGGAAAACTTCATTGACCTTTTAGTTCCCCAGAAAAATGAACTGCTATTTAAGAACTATGTCATAAGTTGTCGAAAATGATCTCTACCTCTTTGGCCAGTCATCAAATCAAGTGTTATAAATGCCCAGGGTGGGAAATTCTCCTCAAACAGACCTGTGTTGATTTATCATACAGACACCTAAGTAGCACTTTTAAGTGGTCATACTGTCGTGAGCACTTGGAAGACAAGCCTTGATTTAAACACAGGAAGTTATCTCCCTATACCAAGTATCTTACCCTCGATGGCCTGAAAAATAAGGCCCTTGAAAATCTCAAGGCCTTTTCTTTCCTTTCTTTCTTTCTTTCTTTCTTTCTTTCTTTCTTTCTTTTGGGAGGAAGGGATATATCAAAACTGGGTTTCTCTGTGTATCCCTGGCTGTCCTGAAACTAGCTCTAGACTGGGCTGACAGAAATTTGCCTGCCTCTGCCTCAGGAGTGCTGGAATTAAAGGTGTGCTCTGCCAACACAACCTCTTCAAGAGCTTCAAGGCCTTCTTCGATTAAGGGTGGGAGCAATTGGTAGGATCAATCAGATTCACTGTTAAAGACTCAGACCTAATTATCTAAATCTGAAACCATGAAAAATGCAATCCATCTAACCAAAGTACTCTGGATCTACAATAGGTTTGCTAACCTAGACACGAGTTGAAGAGCAAAGAGCTTTCCAAAAAGACTGGGTCCTCACTAAATGGATACTTTTTGTTCTACCATATCCCGATGTCATCCTTCTGGGGATGCCTGTTAATCTTATATCTTCAGCCCATAGCTCCAAAACTCCCTGGGCTGGAAGAGGATCAGTCCTGCCTCCTGAAAGGAAGCACAAGGAACTGCTGTAAGCAGGAAATCTGTGGACCTTCAAAGTATGAGGACACTCCAGAGACGTGGCTCCAAAGAATTTACTTACCCTCCAACAGGTTTCCTACTCAATTAAGAGACAACAGCATTTATCAGCAAATCAGTAAGGCAGTATCAGAGCCCTCATTACTGATCACTTTCAGAGTATCAAATCACCTTCTCTAAGAATCTTAGGACACATGTCTCAGCAGAAAGAATGATACAAAGGTCACCAAGACCCAAGTGACTGGGAAAAACTTCTATCCACTCACTAAAACACTCTGCAAAGCTTTTCCTCAAAGGGACTGTATCTGAGGAGACTCTACACTTGGTTGGTCTTATTATTTCAAACATCTTTACAAGGAAGAAGGGTGAACAAGCTCCAAATAGATAAGATTATCCTTGGACACAGTAAAGATGAGTAGCAGAGACAAAATACCCCACCATTGTCCATTGAAAGCAAGTATTTTATAAATAATTTGGTTGGCTGGTCACACTTCTCAGACAATCAATTAGCTCCTAGCAGATCTGTTTACAGTATCAATAAATTCTAACTGTTCTATAAATCAAAGTATTTTACCATCTCTAAGAAGGCTATGTTCTTTCTGAGTATGTTCATAACTAATGTTTGTCTGTGGCTAGGAAACTCTACATATCATGGCTATTAATATAGTCTGTATCACCATTAAAACAAGAAGCCTGATTGTCTTTAACATTACCCAAACTGTGTGTTGTAATAGATTCACCCAACGCTTTTAACCAAAAATTTGTGAAGACGTTCCAATTCTCAAAACAATTTATCAGCAACAACAAAATAGGCTTACCTCTCAGGACAGCCATCTTCACTATCCCCGTGGTCACTACAAGGCTCTAACAGTATACCTACAGACTGACGAGAGAACACCACCACTGTTTATCAGCTCCCAACAGTCATGCATTAGACAAAGCTGTCCATCTAGGACATCAGATTACAAATTAGCAAACACCCCTCTGTGACTACTCTAACAGTCTTCAGGAACTGGCAGTTCTTGTACACAAAGTTTACCCTTCCTCAAAATCTGAAACAGATTTAAGTATTTGCAGAGGCTTTGTTTTTCTCTCTCCTTATAAGTAATAATCACTAGTATCCTCTTTCCTTACAATTCTCTCCTTCAGCCAGGTGGTAGTGATGCATACCTTTAAATCCAGCACATGGGAGGCAGAGGCAAGTGGAATTTTATGAGTTCAAGGACAGCAAGGTCTACAGAGCGAGTTCCAGAACAGCCACAGCTACACAGAGAAAGCCTGTCTCAAAAAAAATAAAATAAAATAAAATAAAATAAAAAGAAACTCTCCTCTAAACTTATGGTGGACTATGGGTACTGTTCCATGGCAGAGTACCTACTGGCCTGGGTACATTTGAAATAACAACTTCTTTCTACACAGGGTGCCACTTGAGCCTCAGAAGCACAGAACAATCTACTCTTCAATGAGTTTAGTAATACTACCTCCCCCCAATTCCCTGACAAGAGACCCAAGTGTGGTAGCACATGCCTATAATCCCAAGGCTCAAGAGGCAGAGGCAAGAAGACCCAAAGTCTGAGCTAACCCTGGGCCACAGACCAGCCTGAGCTGCATGAATAAAAAAGCCTCCCAAATATAATACAAGTCCCATCAACTCTACTACAGAGAGTATAAACATCTTCATGTTTTTGATAATCTTTAAAACAGCAAAAACAATGTTTTATTCATCATTAGTATGTGTTTGCATGAGAACAGATCAGAGGACAGCTTTCAAGAATTGGTTCTCTCCCTCCATTGTGGGTTCTGGGCACTGAATTCTTCTTGACAGGCTTGTGTGACAAGCACTTGTACCCATCTTGCTAACCTTAAGACTCTTTAGACTCTCCCATGCATGTGTCTGACTGAACAGTAAGATCTCCTACATTTCCAACTATCTATCTCCTTGAAGGTGAGCTGTTTGCTCAATCCAATCAAACATACAGCAGCACTGAATACAAAGCAAATGAGACTCCATCTGTCCTCTAGGCAGGCATTAATTATATTTTTAAGCATACAACAATGCAATCCCCCAAATTAAAACATTATGAGAACAGCTGTTTACTAAAACAAACAAACAAACAAACAACAACAACAACAAAAAAACAGTGGTATCTAGGGAAACAGTTTAGACAACTGAGTGCTTCTCTGCAAGCATGAAGACCTGTGCACCTACATGAAAAAGCCGTGCCAGCAGACACACCTATAATCCCAGCAGTGGTGAGGCGCTGAGACAAGAGGATCCATGGGCTTACTGGCTAGGAAATCAACCCAAGTGGTAAGCTTTGAGGTTCAGTGAGAGATTCTGGCTCAAAAAATAAGGCTGGGTAATGAGGAGGAGACTTGATGTGAATCTTTCATCTCCATATGCATATGCTCCCACACATGGAGGGAGGAAGGCAGGGATGGTTGGTTTTATGGATCCAAACATGAAGGAACTCAGTCCCAACTATTCAGGGGAGTATAACGGGCTAAATCTGGGCATAAATTCACAGTAAACAGAGCAACAGAGTAATACCTTACTTCAAAGAGGAAGTGAGGAAAGAAAGGAAGGAGAGGAAAACAACCCTATTAATATCATGAACAGGGGACTGGAGAGGTGCCTCAATGGTTAGGAGCTCTTTTGCTCCTGCAAACAAAGGGGTGGGGTTCGATTCACAGAATACATATGGCACATCTGTAACTCCAGTTCCAAGGGATTTGATACCCTCCTCTGGCCTCCAAAAACACTACAAACATATGGTGCATACAGGAAAGAAGGCAAAACACCCATATATACAAAACAAAAATAATTATGAATTTATTTTAATAAATTATTTTTAAAATAATTAATTTTACTTCTAATATGACAAATACTAATATACCCATCTAAACAAAATATCTAAGATTTTCAGTAATTCTTAATTTTTAAGAGATAAAGAAACTCAGTGTGAGAGAACCAATGAGCTAAAACTCAAACGTTACCAAGAGTGTAGCTATACATTCTCCAAGTTTCTAGGAATTAGGTCAAAGCATGAAGAATCAGGACAGGACCTAGAGCTGACAGGCCTCTGTCCCCTGCTGAGAAAGGCAGACTCACAGGCAAGTTTCAGCAGTGTGGGAAAGCAAATTATACAGAAAAAAAGAAATAGCTATAAGCCTTAGAAGCCCAGATTCCACAGCAGACAGCAAGAGTGACAGAACAGAAATTAAGCCCTATATGGCAGTGGTGCACGCCTATAATCCCAGCACTCAGAGGGGCAGGAGCAGGCAGATCTCTGCGAGTTCCAGGCCAGCCTGGTCTACAAAGCGAGTCCAGGACAGCCAGGGCTACACAGAGAAACCCTATCTCAAAAAGCTTAAAAAAATAAAAATAAAAAAAGAATGCATACACACAAGCACACCAATTTAAAAACATGTTTTGCCTTCTGGTACGTATGTGTAAAACATTAGTGCCTGGTGCTTTTGCAAGTTGGAAGTGAGTGCTGGACTCTTGGAACTAAAGTTTTATGGATGACTATGACCCATGTGGGCACTAGTACTGACCCGCAGTCCTCTGCAAAGGCAAAGTGCTCTTAACCCCTATCTCACCAGGCCCTGTTGTTATTTTTAGGACAGGGTCTTACTCTGTAGTTCAGGCTATTCTAGAACTCAGGACATAGCCCAGGCTAGTTTTAAATTCACCTTTCAAGTTCTGGGACAAGTGTGTGCTACCACACTTGGCTTTGTGGTCTTTGTTTGTTTGCTTCTCTGAAATAGAGTCTCGTGTATCCTAGGGTGGCCTAGATTTCCCTATGGAGCTGAGAATGACTCTGAGCTTTTGATACTCCTGCCTCCCTCTTAGGGCTGGAACTGCAGGCGCACACCAGTGTGCAGAGGCTTGTGGTGCTGGGGATGGACAAAGGGCTTTGCTAGGCAACCCTACTCTATGAAATGAACTTCCTTCTCATTTTATCTTCTGCGTTAAAATAGTTAGTAGGTCCATCACAGCAATGGTGTCAGGGCTGGCTGCCAAGAGCGAATTAAAGCTTGGGAGGCATTCCTAGTCATTCCTATTCATTACCTATTCCTTAGCCATCCACAATTATTGCTTCCCCCTTACTTAGTTCTACTTCTCCCCATCTCCACCGACCTATTTCTGCTTAAGTATTCTGGCTGGTTACTTCTTTTGAATATCTTAAATATCCCCAACTTCTTTCTGTACAATTTCATTTGCTTAGTAAAAAACCTTTGCACTCTTCCAGCCCAGCAAGATGCCCAAAAGAAAGGCGGCCAAGGGGAAGAAGGTGGCTGTGGCCCCGCCCTGGCCCCTGCCATTGTGAAAAAAACAGGAGGCCCAAAAGGTGGTCAATACTTTGTTTGAGAAGAAGCCCAAGAACTTCCACATTGGGCAAGATATCTAACCCAGATCTCACATACTTCGTCAAATGGCCCCACCACATTAGGCTGCTGCAGCAAAGTTCCTCCTGCCATTAACCAGTTCACCCAGGCCCTGGACCAGCAAACATCTACCCAGCTGCTTATGCTTGCCCACAAGTACAGGCCAGAGACAAAGCAGGAGAAGAAGCAGAGGCCGCTGGCCCGCGCTGAGAAGAAAGCTGCTGGGAAAGGGGACGTCAACTAGGAGAGCACCTGTCCTTCGAGCAGGGGTCGGTACAGTCACCACCTTCATGGAGAACAAGAAGCCTCAGACAGCGGTGACTGCCCCTGTGTAGACCCCATTGAGCTGGTGGTTCTCCTGCCTGCCTTGTGTGGAAAGATGGGGTCCCTACTGCATCATCAAGGGAGAGGCCAGGCTGGTCCACAGGAAGACTCGCACCACTGTCGCCTTCACACAGGTTAACTCGGAAGACAAGGGTGCTCTGGCTAAGCTGCTGGGAGCTATCAGGACCAATTACAATGACAGATATGATGAGATCTGCTGCCACTGGGGAGGCAACGACCTGGGTCCTAAACCTGTGGCTCTCATTGCCAAGCTGAAAAAGGCAAAGGCCAAAGAACTCACCACTAAACTGGGTTAAATGTACACTGCTAAGTTTTAATTACAAAAAAAAAAACAAAAAAAACTTTGTACATTAGGCAAGAGAGGATCGGAGAAGAAGGAAACAGACCAGCACCATGGGTTAGCATGGGGAAGAAGCACATGGCCAGATCAGCATGGACGGAGGAGATGAAGAACATTACTAAATATTTTGGGACCATGGATGGGAGGTAGCTCGAGATTAGGGCTGGGAGGTAAAGTTAGTTTAGAGGATTACTATCTACAATGCCCCAGGTAAATGCTATTTTATAAATTACAACAGGTGTCTGTGTCTTTGGTTGATAGCAAGTTAGAGAATACCATCGTAATAATTATAGCCTAATAGTAAACATTTATTAGGCCACATCTTTTAAAATTATCACAACATATTGGTGAACCAACATGTAGCTTGAATCTAAGTTTATAGCCCGAGAAATACTAGGTAAAAGATAGTCTCTTAGCCAAAGAGCAGAGAACCAAAGATAAATGCATCTCACAAGTGCTGCTCTCTGCTGTAGGCTCAGCTCTGCAGGTCAGCAATGACTATAAAAACATGTCTGAAACATGTCAGGTTTCCAATAACTCCTCTACCAGGAAGAGAGAAAGATGGCTGTATCACTACGGTTTCTATCACTGTCATAACAGAACTAAATACCTTTTTTTTTTTTTTTCTTTTTTGGACTCAAATGCATTTCCTGATCATCTGCTACACACCAATATCCCTGGATATTGGTGATGGTTAAGCCATCCTTTAGAGAATTAGTTTTACCTCCAATTCCCTTGAGGTATAATGTATTAAGCTTGTTTTTGTGTTTAATGTGTCTTTTTGTTGACAGTGTGGAGGCCCACTCCTTTAATCCCAGCATTCAGGAGAGAAAGGCAAGCTAATCACTGTTAGTTCCAGGCCAGCTAGGGTTATATATTGAGATTCCTGTCTTTAAAAAAACAAAAGGAGAGGCTAGAGAAATGGTTTAGCAGTTAAGAGCACTGGCTACTCTCTCTAGAGGCCTGGGCTCAATCCCTCAGACTCTACTTGGCAACTCAATTTTAACTCCAGTCCCAGGGGAGCCAATGCCTCCTCTTTTGGCCTTTGGTCCTCCACTAAGCATACATGTGGTACATGCAAAACACCCATACACAGAAGAAGTTAACAAAAGCGGGGAAGGGAGGGATTAGGACATAAAAAAAAAAGAAACGTTAACAAAAAATGTATTTAAATTTGTCTTTTGTTACAAGGGTCTATTTCAACTAAGAACTATAAAGGGAAAAGAGAAAAAAATACCATACTAAGTTCTTCAGAAGTACGAAGAAATACAGAAAGCTTTGAAACTACTAAAGCTCAACTGCAATACCACTACCTACCTCACATGCTGTCATAGGCTTCCTTCCCAAGAAATACTTTCAAAATATGTTTGATGCAGGGCATGGTGGCATACACCTTTAATCTCAGTACTCAGGAAGTCTACACAGAGAGTTCTACAGTAAGACCCTGCCTAGAACAAAAAGGCACTTGGAATAGGGAACTGCTAACTGGATACAAATGCTTACCACACAAGCACAAGGAGCTGGGTTTAAATCCTGAACCCACATGAAGTACTGCAGTAAAATCTGCAATCCCGGTGCCTACAGCAAAATGGGCTGTGGAGGACAGGTGGACCTTCAGAAGCTCCTGAGCCAAATTGTCTGGTGTATGCAAGCAGCTCAACAATACATCCTGTCTCAAAGAAGACTGAATGCATAAACTGTCCTCGGGGACTCTACACATGTACCACGGCATTCATAAGCTTACATTCCCACACAAACACACACAAAAGATTTTTAAAAAATAAAAAATAAGGTGTTTTACACTTAATTCTATCTGACACGAGTCTTAAATTCTACATAGAATGTATAGCCCTAGTGATTACAACAGAGACAAGTATGTCAGCAAAATTATTCAAATGCAACTTTAACTTTCACTATCAAAGGAGCATGTGAACAATCAGAATGATGCTTCTAGAATTTCTTACCTGATTATTTTTCTGGTCCTCAAATACAAAATCTTGCTGCATGACTTCACTATCTGCAGTAGTACCGGCCACAGGTTTTGAACACTTTATGTTACCATCACTGGCATTAGTAGCAGCAGCAGCAGCAACAACCCTAGTAAGATTTTTTAAAAATCAGATCAGGCCTTTGAAATAAGCAAGTATCTATCATGGCACAGTTTGGGTGCAGAAGCACAAGTCTGTAATTCTGGCACATGGGAGTTCAAAAATTCAAGGTAATCGTAGGCTACACAAGAGTTTGGAGCCATCCTGGACTACATTTCAAAGTCCACATTTCAAAGTAAACAAGCAATTCAGAAATCTTTACTTATTTAAGGCTGAATGGGGTGTATGTTTGTCTTGAAACAGGATCCTACCATGTAGTCCAGCTGACCTCAAACTGGCAATCTGCCTGCCTGCCTCAACTTCCGGGATGCTAAGATTAGAGGCAGCATCTCTCTGCTGTCATCAGAGCCACTGTTCAGCCCCATGAACTCAGCCTGACAGAAGATGGCACAGACACTGGATCTGTGTGAGGAGCCTGCAAGTGCTGTATACTGCTCTCTTCTGAACAATTCCAGTCCAGCTTTCTACATTCCATCAATGTTGTTAACAAAATGTTTACTTGTTAAAAAAAACACATCCTCGTAAAAATATTTTCCTCTTGTTAAGTTAGATTAAATCTGCTACATTTACTTTTACTCTTCCCTGAATGCTAACAAACCTTGTAAGAATTCTCATAAAACTATTGTGCTCCAACAATTTCCTTTACAAACGCATACTCCTACATATAATAGTGTTTGTCCTAGTTAAATACTGAGTTTATATGAAGTCACATACAAGTTTCAGGTACAATGGCAGTAGCAGACACTATTCTAATGCTATAAATATAAATATAAAAGTAGAAGTGGGAAGATGGTTCACTGGGTAAAATACTTGCGAAAATGAGAACCTGAGTCTGGACCCCCAGTACTCCTGTAAAAGTTGACAAAGTATGGACCTATGACCCTGCACTGTGGAAGAAGGGGAGGGGGCAGGGAGTCTTAAGAGTCTTAGCCAGGTTAGCCTAAACAGGATCTAGGTTCAATGAGAGGCTCACAGCTGAGACAACCGCACAAAGATATACACACAGGCATGTAACACACAATAAGTAAAAAAGGTAAGTAAACAAAATTCTGTTGCTACATGCTCTGCATTCCAGTGCTGGAAGACAGCAGTAATTAACATATGTCACACATTTTAATCAGCTTTCTATCACTGTAAGGAAACACTGGAGAAAGCCAACTTAAAAAGAGATGCTTATTTTAGTTCCTTGTTTTGAAAGCTTTAAGCCATGAGTGGCTAGCTATATTGTTCCAGTCCAGTGGTAATGTGGCATATCAAAGCAAAAGTGAGCAAAGACTGTTAGCCTCATGGCCAAGAAGCAAAGAAAAAGAAGGGAAAAGGATCACAAAATCCCATTCAGGAGTTCTTAATAGCTTAAGAAAACCACTAGATCTTATCTCTTAAAGCTTTCATTGCATCCCAATACCACTCTGGAGAACACAACTTTAAAAAAGGCCTCAGAGGGGCATTAAAGATCCAAAGTGCAAGGGGTTGGAGAGGTGGCTCAGAGGTGAAGAGCACTGGCTGCTCTTCCAGAGGTAGGTGTTGAGTTCAATTCCCAGCAACCACATGGTGGCTCATGACTATCTATAATGAGATCTGGTGCCTTCTTCTGGCCTGCAGGCATGCAGGCAGGCAGAATACTGTATACATAATAAATAAATCTTTAGCTAGTGTGCACGCCTGTGATCCTAGCACTTGGGGATGCAGAGACACACAGTTCACTGTGAGTTTGAGGCCAGCATGGTCTACAAAGTGAGTCCAGGACAGCCAAGGCTACACAGAGAAACTCTTGTCTCAAAAAACAAAAAACAAACAACAATAACAACAACAACAAAATCCAAACTGCAGCAGTTAGGTTACTACAACCATTACAGACAAGACAGAAAAATACAATTAAAAAAAGGATGGAGAGTCATCACTGAAAAGTAACATTACAAAAAAAATTGAAAGAACTAAGCAAATATCTAGATGGCTACATATCTAAATTAAAAGAAACTGCAGAGGCTCAGGGGAAAATGTGACTTAGAACACTTGAAAACAACAACAACAAAAATAAAAACGCCAGAAGAAAATGACTAAAGGAATATTACCCAAGAGTCAAAGTCAAAAAAGGTGGGGATGTCGCCAGTAAAATGGAGCATTATTAGTTACATGACTCTATAGTTCATTTGTCCTCTTCTGACTTCCATGGGCACCAAGCATGAACATGGCACATATACATATATGTATGCAAAACACTCATACACACAGAAAACAAGAGAGGGAACATAGAACACACATCACACAAAATAAACTTTTAAAAGGCAAAAATTGACCAGCAGTATCATAAAGCTTACAGTTCTGTCCTTGTGCCATTACAGCCCAACCTACCCTAGAAGCTACAAAAACAAATCAATTCAAGAGGCTGGAGAGATGGCTCAGCAAGAGCACGTCACATATTGCTCTTCCAGCACCCAGGTCAGGCAGTTTACAGAAGCCTCGAACTCCTGCTCAAGGGGGTATGATAGCCTCCTTCTGTCCTCCATAAATACTGTAATCATGAATACATACCCACACACACATAATTTAAAAATAAACTATTTAAAAAGTCAATGTGGCAATTTGATGATTAGTCCCCATAAGCTCCTGTGTTTGAATACTTGGACCTGAACTGGTGAAACTGTCCTGAGAAGAACTGGGAAGTGTGGCCTTATTGGAAGAGGCGTATCATTACAGATAGGCTTCAAAAGAGACTTGAGATTTCACAAGACCGAAGCCATTCCCAGTGTGCTCATGATCTCTTGCTTTCTCTCCAATGCTCACTCACTTGCTTGCTCACTGGCTCTTTGCCTCTTGCTTCTGGATCAAGATGTGAGTTCTCAGCTCTTCCTGCCACCATGCTTTCCTCCACCATCACTGACTCCAACAAACCATAAGCCCAATTAAATGGTTTCCTTTAAAAGCTAGCTACCTTCTCTGGTCATGTTTTGTCACAGCAGCAGGAAAAGACAGTACTACTGTCTCTAGAAATTCTGTTTCAAAAGTTCTAAAACCTTACCCAACAAGCTAATTAGCTAATATGGAAACAAATTTTAAGAAAAAAAAATATACACAAAGCTTCATTTCTGAAGAAAAGCATGACAATGGCAAATGAAAACTCCTTAACAGCATTTAGTTTTCTTCTTGCTCTTTTTTATACTCAAATGTTTGGGTTTTCTCTTCCGTGAGAAAGGATCTTCTATATATAGCCTGTGTGACCTTGCCTCCTGTTTGAAGAGATCCTCCTGTCTCTGTCTCCCAAATGCGCAGATTACAGGAACATGCCACCACATCCAGACAGAATTCTTTCCCTTTCTTTCTTTTTTCTTTTCTCTTTCTTTCTTTCTTTCTTTCTTTCTTTCTTTCTTTCTTTCTCTCTCTCCCCCCCCTCTTCAGTATGCAGGGCTGTGTGCATGCTGGGCAAACTCCACACTAGCTACAGCCCCAGCTCAGCTTCATAAGCATGGCTCTTGGTGCTTGAGTTCACAGTGAAACTAAATGCTCAAAAGCTAAACCTGACTCAACTGAAGCCTTTACCTTGTTGATGCTGTAACACTGTCTGATTCCAGGATGTTTTCAGTCATCCTGAGCTGCAACACTTCAGGCATGCCATCTGACTTGTCTACACTTTCTTCTGGAAGCTCGTCTATATGTTCCAGCTTTTCATCTTCCTCTTCTTCCTCAGAAAGTTCATTAACCTACATAAAAAGGAATTTCAGGATTAAATTTAATAAAGCTTATCTAAAATACATTACTCTAAAAAATATATTGTTCATGCAAGTAACTAATCTTAAATTTCATTTCCTAATACCAATCCTCATATAAAATACCAACTTTTTAATATCAAAATAAAACTATAGAATAGGGAAAACATTTACCCAACATGCACAATGCCACAGGTTCAATCCCCAGGACTACAAAACTAAATAACAATAAAAATACACAAGTATATATATGTATATATGACAAATGTAACTTTTTATGTCACACAGCATTTTGATGCAGGATAAATAGGAATATAATGTTACAATCTATAAAAAAGCCTGCATATAACAATAAGGCTGTTTCATTTTTGCTGGGCATGGCAGCACATGCCTGCAATCCCAGCACTGGAAAGACAACAGTATGTTCACTGCAAGTTCCAGTTGGCCAGGACACATTAAGACCTGTATCAAAAAAATTTTCTTTTAAAGCTTCATCTTCTAACTACTTTTATAAATCTAACATGAAAGATTTCCGATTCCTTTCTCTATTTTCTAGGTATATAAACAAACAATTTTAATATTAAATGTAAAAAAGAGGGCACAAAAATCCCAACTTGGGTGGAACACATCTGTAAGCCCAATAACTGGGAGACAGAGGCAGAATAATTAAAAGTTCAAGGTCATCCTACATAGGAAGTTAGAGGCCAGCTTAGGATATATAGGAGGTTAAGAAGAATATTACTGAAGTGTTTGTTGCTTTTGGCTGGCTGACACACTTGTCTTTAGTCACAGCACTAAGGAGGCAGAGAGAGGCAGATCTAAGTTCCAGGCCAGCCTGATCTACATAGTAAATTCTAGGCAAGCCAGAGACACACAGTGAAACCCTATCGAGGAGAAAAAGAGGGATTGATGCTTAAGGTTTAGATTGTTGGAAAATGTCAGATAACTTCTGATTACATTTTTTCATGGAAAAAAAAAAAAATGGAACCCTAGCTAGTGACATAGCTCTGTGGTAGAATACTTGCCTAGCATTTGCAAGGAACTGAGTTCAGTCCCCATCACTGTTCAAAAAGATGTAAAATAAAATCCTGAACCAAAGAACTTAGGTTTTAACTATTAAGCAAAAGTTGTAATTATATTTTTCTATTAAGATTTATAAAATGTCTCCATCGTCAAACTGGTTATATTAAATAATCACTACCCAAAACAAATAACAAAAACCACTAAAATGCTAAAGAACGTATTTTAAGGCTATCTAAAAGAAGCAGTCAGATAATGGTGGCACAAACCTACAGCAGTTTAAGCCTGCCTGGGCTTCCATGGTGACTTCTAGGCCAATCTGAGCTACTCTGTTTCAAAATGAAATTACACCAACAAGAAACTATGTATAAATAACCTGATAACTTTTTAAGTTAATACTAGTCATTAAAATACTGAGCAGCACATTCTGCGCCACAGTCTAGTCAAACTAGCCTGAGAGAGTCCATTACAGAAAACCACAACTGATCAAAATGCAGAGAACAGGTGACCCCGTGGTGCCAGCCCCATCCAATACATTTGTAACACAATTCCTGCTCTGCTCAGCACTGGAGAAGAGGGCACAGGGATTGTAAAAGCCAGAGGAACAGAAAGTTTGCTGAGACTGTGTCTCCTAGAAATGTCAAGCACTACACCCACGAAGGTATCAACATGGCCACTTAAACAAGACTATACAAACCCATGTGGGAGCTTTTAAACAATAACTGGTATCATTTGTCAGATGAAAATTCAACAACAGTTAATAACTGGAGGATACAGCTCAGTGATTGGCTGCTTGCTTAGCATACCCAAGACTCTGGGTACAACCTACCATACTTAAAAAATAAAAATAAAATACAATAAATGGCTTCAATTTGTAAATATACAACAGATTCCATTTAATTTGTTGTGCGTATAAGTGTGGTACCTCACCTACCCCATAAAAAACAGTAATGAAAAAAACTTAAGAAGGGGCAGTGAGCTAGACAGATAGCTCAGCCGATAAAGGCAATTATCATCAAGCCTGTCTAGATGTCCCTTAGTTTGTTCCGCAGAGCCTATATAGAAGGAAAAAAAAAACAAAAAAAAAACAAAACAACATCCCCAAGTTGTCCTCTGACCTCCACAAAGCACTGATATCCACATCACACACATACACAATAAATGCATCTAGAATTATTTTTAATTTAAACAGACTTCTTATTCAGCCCACCTATTTTAGTTAAAAGATACTATTTTAACATGTATCACTTTTCTAAATGGGAGAACAGCTTGGAGGGTAAAGGGCTTACAGTGCAAGTAGGAGGTAGAGTTCAGATTCCCAGAAGCTCTGTACAAAGCCAGGTAAGAATGGCGGTCTGCCCACAATCCCAGTGCTCAAGACGAAGAGACAGGCTTCCCAAAGCAAGCTAGCTAGCTAGCTTATCCCAAGTCAGTGAGCTCTGGGTATAAGTGAGAGACCCTACCACAATATGCAAAGTGCAAAGTAACCAAGACACCAATGTTAACCTCTGGCCTCTGTACACATGGGTATACACACATGCATGCACCTGTGCACAGTGTGCCCATGTACATATGACCACATATGCATGACCACATATGCATAACAACACACATACATACAAGCTAATATAAAGCAATTTTAGGAGAAGGGGAGATGGCTCAGTTGGATTCCTCAGTTGACTCAACTGGCACACAATACAGCATCAGGACCTCAATCTGGATCCGCAGATGCCACAGAAAAGCCAGACATGGGAAATTTAGCCCTGAGGATAGAGTCAGGAAGATCCATCCCCAGCACACACTCAACAGCTAATCTAACCAATCAGCAAGCACCCGATTCAGTGAGAGACCCTCTCTCACATGGTAGGGCACAACAGTGGAAAACACCCAATACTGGCCTGTAGCTACACACATACATACATACATACCGCACACACAGAGAAAAAATTAAATAAAAAAAATTAAAGAATTATTTTTAAATTCACTGTTTCTATAGAAGAATTCCAATTCCTAGTACAACCAATGGAACTTCCTCCAGTAATAACGGACTCAATTACTCAATTATTTAGAGCAAATGAGGACATAAAGGAGTAAAACGTCCTCTCACTCCACATTAATCTAAAGTTCCTCACCTTGCCACTTGACCTTCTCCGCTCAACAATTCCTGTGTATTCTAAGTTATCTTCAACTTGTCCTATACAGCTGCCGTAACTTCACTAATGAAAACCCTGACCCATACTTACATCTCTTCTTTCTTTGACTGTTGTAATTCCCCTCTCTAGGGCCTTGTGAAATGCCTGCTCTCCAGGCTCCACATGGAGAATGCTGCTACCTGCCTTCTCAAACGTATAAAGAAACATAATTATCACTTCCCCCTTCAAACCACCCTACTGGATTTTCATTTATTTAAAGAGCCCATTCAAAGTCCACTTGACTCTGTCAAGTCATTTCTCAAACATTCCCTATTCATTTCAACACAGACAAGGAATAAGACTACCTATTACCTTCAGAAGAGTTTAACAACTAAATACCTGGGCTAATGGGATGAAACTCCCAAACAGTGCTGAGTAAACTTGGCCTCCTTCAATTACCAAAATTAAAATGAAAACCAAGCTCTACCAGATCGCCATGCTTACAGGTATCTTTAAATATGTAAATGCGACATAAGTATTTACGTAAAAGCAATTTAAACACAACTGCTCTGTGTTTGAGACTATATTCCTTTCCTTGAAATATCAATTCTACTAACAAGTCAAGCTGAAGTTTAGCAAAACTCCTTAAAGAAAAACAAGCTTCACAAATCTGTACTTTTGTTACTTGTAACCCACTTTAATCAATAGGTATTTTTTAATGAGTAAGAAAACAGGACTGGAAAGATGGCTCAGTGGTTTTAAGAGTACTGACTGCTCCTGCAGTACCCAGGTTTGACCCCCAGCACCCATGTGGAGGCTCACATTCATATGTGACTCCAGTTCCAGGAGATCCAACACCACCTTCTGGCCTCTGAGGCACCAGCCATGCTCATGGTGCATAAACATACACCCACACACATAAAAATTAAATATTTTCTCGAAAAGATCCCAGCAATTAGCAACTGATAATTAAACATACATCCCTATTTCAAAACCCACGTCACTACTGTGTTTCTGGGAGCTATTTTGCTCAATATACTAATATCTTTTCTATCCATGAGCAAACAACAGAATCCAACATTTCCTCTCTTGCTTAATTTAAGTATCATCCTATGTAATATAAAGCACAATCTATTTTAAAGTCAATTTTTCTAATGCTTGAAAAATATAAAAATACTGACCCAATACATATAGACATATAGTTCAATACATTCAAAGAAATCACAGAAAAGATGACCACAAAATTCTATCACAAAAGAAATCATAACCAAGGCATACACTGCAAACTTTAGGAGTCTATCAATATTTGATCAAGTTTTCATCATCAATTTCTAAAGAGTCAAACATCTTGGAAATGTAGGAAATCAATGACCCAAACATACACACACTGCTAGTTTATCCTAAAAAGCCATTTATTTTAATTTTAAAAAAGCTATCAGAATAAAATGTAATTTAAAGAAGGATAACATACAGAATTCCTTAACAGATGGATTTATAACCATCAAGACATTAAAGCTGAAGGTCAACCAGGCATAGTGGTATATGTCTACAATACCAATACTGGAAAGGAGAGGCCACAGAATCAGAAGCTCAAGGCAAGCCTTGGCTACACAAGGAATTCCAAGTCAACTGGGTTGCATAAGACTCATACGGGAAAAAAAACAAAACCAAACACCATTTACGATGCAGCCACCAACCTGTCCTCTTGATACTTATTTGCAAACAACAATCATCTGGAGCTAAGTGTGGTGGCACATGTCAATAATCCCAGCACTCAGGAAACTGAGATAGGGCGTCAGTAATTCAAGGTCAACCTATGCTACACAGCCAGGCTAAGACCCGACTGTGTGCCACATGAGAGCCTACCTCAATCAACTAGCCAGCTGTGGCGGGCACATGCCTTTAGAATCCCAGCACCCAAGCAACACAGGATAACAGATCTGTGATTTGGAGGCCAGTCTGTGGTGTACAGGTAGTTTCAGGCCAGCCAGAGATATACAATGAAACCCTTACCAAAAAAAAAAAAAAAAAAAAAAAAAGTCCAAACAGATCTCTAACTCACCAATTCTAAACCCAAGAACTCTCAAGTAATAATGGCCTTACAAAAACAAAAACAAAAACAAAAAACAAACCTGTAATTATTCAAGCTCTATCTAATATTACTATTTCATAAAGGAAAAAAGAAATCAAGTATAATGCGGGCACTAACGATATAACTCAGCTGTCAGAATGTACACAGTACGCCATAAATCCACATGTAGCACTAAATGCCTACATGTGCTACAGGAGGACCAGAAGTTCACGTTCATTCTTGCCTACAAAGCAAGTCTGAGGCCAGCCTGAGCTACATGAGATCTTCCCTCAAAAACAGAGAAGAAAAATCATAATATAGCTAAAACAACGGATATTAAGAGCCAGGCATAGTAGCCCACACTGGTAATCCCAGCACTGGGAAAGCTAATGCAAGAAGACTATTGACAATTTAGGACTAGCCTAGGCTACCTATTAAGATCAAAGCCAGTCTTAAGACTCTATCCTCACACAAATAATAAAAACCAAAAGTAAAACAGTCCAAAAATCAATACATAAATAATGGATTGAATAATATATTACAGTCACAGAATTTAAAATTATCCACTAGCCAGGTGTGCTGGCTTATCTGGAATCCCAACACTCAAGAAAAAGAAGTTCTCTAGATTTCAAGGGTAGCCTGAGCTACACAAAATAAACAATTTCTAAGTTAATAGTGGACCTGGGGGATGAAGTGGAAAATAATTTCTACCACCTACTCTGACTTTTTCCTAGCTGAACATGTATCTCAAAAACAGAATGCTTACCGAGCATGCTCAAAGCCTAGGTCCAATGCCCAGCACTACAAGTTAATAAATAATAACGCTTTCTGCTTAGTACATCAACTGAGATCAGGAAGCAGAGTAAGGGTATGAAATCCAATCATATGTCACATGATGTATAAAGCATCAATTACAAAAGATAATCAAAGGAACAACCCTAGTTTAGTAAGTAAATTCTATGTAAGTTTGTGTCAAGCCAATAAGAGCATTTGCTTATAAACAAATATTCTCTAAGAAATAGAATGTTAAGTATGCTCACCTGCTCAGTAATTGAACTCAAATCATTTGATGAAAAATCTTCCTCTTCATTCTCAAAAAACTCATAGTAATTTTCCAAAAGTCCCGCCATTATCCTGCTCACAATTTCTTGCTCTTTCATATCTTCCACATCTGTGTAAATGCTATGAAAAAAAGCTTAAATTGATCTGAGTTCTTAAATTAATTACAGATAAAATGAGAAAAACCATCGATGAGTCACTTTATGAAACTGAGCAATTTATGTCATCATTCTGTGCCTCAGTTTTCCCATCCGTAAAACCTACCTAATTTGTACCCTGAACACAGCAATGCTGTGAGAATTAATCAGATATACTATAAAAAATAATGGTTCACCAAATCATCCTATGATCCTTAGGAGACAATTTAATGATTCCATTTCACAAATCCAATTTCTAAAAAAAATTACACAAAAGTCGTGAAGTAACTTACTGGAAGACATCTGGACCAAAAACAGCAGCCAAAGAATTTGCAGACCAAATTTCTTCATGATGTGATGCTACATTGGCTAAAAACCTACACAGAAACTTTAATAAACTGTAATTAACAGGTGGAAGCTGTTGCAAGAGGAACCTCAATTTTCTTCCAAATTCATCTTCATTATTATAATCTATAAAACATAATGACAGGTTTTCTTAATGAAGTAAAGCAAAGCTCAGATACATTGCCAGGTTCACATTACTCCACCCACATTGTCTTTTACTACAACAATTCAAAACCTCTTCACTTCCTCTGGAGAGGCCAAACGCCTTGGAGGCTCTGCTTCACTTATTAAGTAAAACAAGAGTTTAAAAGGGGAGCTGGAGAAAAGGGACTCAGCCTCTTAATTACTGTAGGATGTTTTCCTCACCTATTACTCATGGCCTCGATTCTCTAATTTTTCATCATACTATCTCATGCATGACTATACCTGTGTTTGCAATTAATGCCTACTCTAAGAAGTCCAAATACACTGACCTGCCAGTCAACAAAAACTACTAAGAAACCATCAACAATCAAGTTATCAGTGACAATTTTCTACATGGACAAATAAGAAAATAAAAGAACAGGGTGACAGGATTTTCTTCTCTCTTGGCACTTGGAAAAGACCCACCAAACATAGTAATATAGTCCAACTAAACTGAAAGGTCTTCCTGTCTCTCACTTGGTAGGCCACATTGGCCTAACACACTCACAGGCAATCCTCCTGCCTCAGTGCTGGGGTACAGGCATGAACCACCACACCTGGCTCTGCTTTCTTTTCTTAACAACTGAATGGGATCACAGAAGCTAGGCCTTGTGTTTGTTATGTCAATGAGTTTTTACTAAGATAAACTAGACTTTTAAAAACCCTATTAATGGATAATGGTCTAATTTTGGAGAATTTCTCAGATAAATAAAGTAATCAAAATAATTTATTACTTTCATTATTTTTATTTTTCTGCAGGCATTATGTCCTTTCTTCTTTACTGATCTTTACTTTCCTACAATTTTTGTTTGTTTTTATTTTTTTCAAGAGAGGGTTTCTCTGTGTAGTCCTGGAACTCACTCTGTGTATCAGACTGGCCTCTGCCTCCCCAAGTGCTAGGATTACAGGCGTGTGGTACTGAGACCAGCTGGGTAAGCATTTGTTAACTTCTGTGAAGAATTTTCAGAGAGAGAAGTGGCTTAATGGTTGGGAGTGTATGCTGTTCAATCCCCAGATCCAGAGGATCTGCTGCCCTCTTGGGACTCTGCAGGAACCTACACTCACAGACATATACATACAATAGTTTTAAAAAATAATAAATCTTCTTTAAGTCACCTACACTAACTAAAAGCAAAATCCAATTAACATTAATTATAAGTGACATCTCCAATTTATCATCATATCTCGCACCCAAATATTTATTTTGTATTTATCATCTACTTCTCTATATAGCCCCTTTAAAACTTTGGCTCAGAACAGAGGGCTAGGCTCAGCACATAAAGGTACTTGTTACAAAATCTAGTAACTTGAGTTCAATTCCTTGAGTGTTTGGCTTTTCAGAACCCATGTAAAAGTGGGAAGCTGAGGAACAACACTCAACGCTGTCCCCTGATGTCCATATAAACACAGTGGTAATTGTGCACTCTCTTATACAAACGCATACATCATATATACAGAAACGCATACTTAAAAATTTTAGTAAATACTAAAGACCCAAGAAATCACCATTCCCTTAACTCTACCCATAGACCCAAGGAACAAACAAGAAAATAAAAATTAATCTCTGATATACTATATGAAACTAACCACATATCAAATTTCTAAAAGGTACGGACTCTAAAACTAATAATACATGACCAATAAAAATCAAACTGTTACCTTGAGAAAGCTGCACCAAGTGAATATGCAAGCTGCCAGGTATGACAGGCTCAGGGAGCTCCTGCAGGAAAAACCTAAGGAGACTAATGGCTGAGGGGACGTCCGCCTCCTTAACCAAATCCACCTCTTCTCCACTGTCGTATCTCTGCCGAAGCCACTCCACTGTCTCAGCATTCCCATTGACTTGAAACAGCCCTTGTTGCTCCAGACCTCCTATGTTAGTTCAAGGCAAGAATTAAGCTGCACCTTTAACTTCCTGGCCACATATGTTCATTCTCATCTCAAAATTCTCATACTTTTGGAAAGCCTTTCTTGGCTCCCCAGATTTAACTAAAAACCAAACTGGTCACCTAACAACATATTACTATCTCTGAAGGATATTCTATTTCATCCCCCCTTTACATCCATTTTAAAAATTCCTATTACCCCCACTAAAAATGTTCTCAGCTGGGAGACTGCCATTTCTAGGTAAATCAGTTTAAATAAAAACATACTAAAGCCCTAGAGTTTATATTGTTCATGTTTTGCACTATCCATACTAAAAAAATTAAATCCAAAATCAAAAAGCATAAGTTGTTTTTATGACAACAAAAGCTAGCCCTCCAAATAAGGAAATGTATACCATGTTCCTCAATATAGTCCACAACGTGGCGGACTATGAATGGAACCTCATTGTCTGGATGGCCTCCCTGCTGCAGCTCATCAAGTGGAATTCCAAATATTTTGTTAGCAAGATCGGAGTTGCAGTTACTCAAGGAAGGGGAGGAGCTCTTCCTCATATCTTTTTTGCAGCCAGAAATCAAAGCTGTCTTTTCTGCCAAATGAAAGACAAAAAAGGAAATAGAAAAAGGGGGAAAAAAAGACTATAATAATTAACAGGTGGCAATATGAGTAAACACATTATTAAGGAAAAAAATGCTTTCACACCTGAATGTACACTATTTAAATATGTTCCAGTTATCAGGCCCATGATACAGTCTACAAATATAACTCAGTGTAATTACCCAAGCTTATCTCTATTACAGACTCTGGTCTGAATTCCCTGTCTGAACACTTAAAACAGATCATCCAAAACTTTTTGGAAAGTGACATTAATATCCTAAGACAATTAAGGGCCAATTGTGGCCCCAAGACATTCACTCTGAAAGCATAGTGACCACACAGTTTTTACCTGAAGCCAAACCCAAACCCCTCCGAATCCTGCAAACATGAGCCCTAAGTACACAGATGAGGTGGGTGATCAGGATCACAATCAGCTTTCTTATAACCTGACAGGCTTGTTCTGAGACATGGTCTCAACATACAGCTCGGGGTGGCCTTAACCTCAAAATCCTCAGCCTCAACTGGGAGGACACAGCCATATGTAACATGCCTCACTAAACATCACTTCTTATAAAGGCCTGATAGGAACAAGAATAATCACTTATTTCTATACAAGTAGCTATAACCCATTTTTTTTCCCTAAAAAGAAAAATGTTTAGTTCTAAACTTCAACTTTTAATAAAGAAAAAATTCCAGATCCTCAAGGTAATTCAGAAAAAAATGGTTGTCTTAACTTTGTTAGATGGTGGTCAGGCAGTAGTGGTGGTACATGCCTTTAATCCCAGCACTTGGAAGGCAGAAGCAGGCCTATCTCTGTGAGTTCAAGGCCAGCCTGGCGTTCCTGAACAGCCAGGGCTACACAGAGAAACCCTGTCTCAAAAAACAAAAAACAAACAAACAAACAAAATGTAGGATGGAGATCAGTAAAGAAAGGAAATAACCCCTCAGATAACTGTCTCCAGTATGGAAGTATTAAATAACAAGTCACCCAAACAATTAACTAGTACCAATAAAAATCCAATCTCTAAAAAAAAAAAAGGAGAAAGGACTATCTTTAAAAGGAAGAAAAACTTTTCCAAATACTGATACTCCAGATCAAAGGTGAATCCCAAAATTCTAAAGTTTAAAAAAGTAAGACTGAATCAACTGCTAGATCAAGGGCTCCATGGCATGACCAGGAAACAATCCAACCAATTTCAGGAATGACAGAATTTAAATTAGGAATGAGAAAACTTCACAGATTTACATAGTCTTAGAAAAGAACATCTACTCTTGGATACACTTAGCACCAGATAATACAAAACCTCAAACTAATCAGCTAATCACATGAATCACTGATAGAAAAAAAAAGTGAGAAAAATTAATAGCAGCTATAGACAGCAAAGTCCAAAAATCGTTGTGGGTTAATAAAGCATTACTACTAAGAAAGCTTACCTTTGAGCACTTAAACACCTAAGTTTAAAAAACGTCTTCTGCACCAGCTACCCTCACTGAGCAAGCATCCTTCTGTCATTTATGGTTGTTTGAGATTATGGCAGAAGATCAGCCTGTAGTTCCTCATTGAAGAAACGCAGAACTCGATCAGTACTTCAGCAGTTAATCTACAACAAGAGAAAACAACTGTTTCAATTCTCACGTCTTTATCTGTGTGTGTGTGGTCCTTCATTACTCTCCATCTTAGTTTTTAACAGTCTCTCACTGAATCTGAAGCTTAGCACTTCAGGTAGACTAACCAGCCAATGAGCTCCCGGGACCCACTTGTCTCCACCACAGAGTGGTGGGGTTACAGGATCAAGCAACTATTCCTAGATAGGTGCTGAAGAAAAATCTTTAAAAAAACAAGCAAACAAACAAACAAAAACCCAAAAAAACAGGGTCACACTATGTAGACCTGGCTGGCCTCATCTTGCCTCTGCCTCCCTAACAAATCTAATCATTCCAATGCACAAAATTTCTCAACTGTTTTCCATTACCCAAAACTCTGTATTTCAGGGGGAAAAATTAAGAGCACCTATCTACATGTATCTTGTATTTCTAAAGCAGAGTAGTGAATAACATAACATACACAGCTATAACACATTAAAAACCTTAAAGAAGTAGAGCAGTGGTTCTCAGGGGTCTCAGCACCCTCTAATATAGTTTCTCATAAAATTATTTCATTGTTACTTCACAACTGTAATTTCGCTACTGTTAGGAATCATAATATAAGGTTATCTGATATGTGACCCCCCCCCAAGGGGTCACAACCCACAGGTTGGGAACCACTGGGCTAGAGATAGCTTAGTGGATAAAGGCACTTCCTGCCAAACCTGAATTTGACCCTTGGGATCCTTGGTGGAAATCGAGAACCAACTCCTGAAAGTTGTCCTCTGATACCCTCCTCACACATATACACAGTGTGTGGGGGGGACACAGACAGAATGAAATTAAAACTGTAATAAAGCTGAGTGTGGATGCATACGCCTTTGGTGGCATCACTCAGGAGGCAGAAGCAGATGATCTCTGCATTCTAGACCAGCCCACTCCACAGGGTGAGGTCCAGAACAGCCAGGGCTACACAGAGAAACTCTGTCTTGAAAAAAACAAAAATAAATAATAACCTATCTTTATTATGTTTGAGATTAAATGTGTGTGTGAAAGAGGAGAGAAAAAGAGAGAGAGAAAGGGAACATATGTCTGTGTGTGCCTGCAAAAGCAAGAAGGCGTTGGATCTCCCCGAGCTGGAGTTACAGGCAGCTGAAGCCACCCAGTGTGGGTTCTTGGAACCTAACTTAGGTCATCTGCAAAAGTAGCAAGTGTTCTTACCAATCTTTTTTGTTTCCTTCTTCCTAGAGACAGTCATTCTATATAGTCAAGGCTGACCTCAAATTCAAGATCCCCCTGCTTCAGCCTGACTGAAGCTATACTTCAGTAAAACTATACTTCGATAGCTTATTTTTTATTGGTCTTTAATATAAAACCACAATGTACTTGCTTTTAATCAGAAAAAGGTCTAAATTAGACTATAACTTACTCTAGACAAATGGGTTCCCAGAGATGGAAACTTTTCTCATTTTACACAGCTGGTAAAAGTTCCTTTGGGAGGGAGGGAGGGAGGGGGGAGGAAGGGAGAGAAGGGAGAGAAGAGAGAGAAGGAAGGAAGGAAGGAAGGAAGGAAGGAAGGAAGGAAGGAAGGAAGGAAGGAAGGAAGGAAGGAAAAGTTGGGGACTTGGGGACTGAGGAAAGAGCTAAGTGCTCACCCCTAAGAATGAAGACCTGAGTTCCACCCCCAGCACCCACATAAAAGCCAGGCGTGGTAGCATGGCTATGTAGTCACAGTGCTGAGGAGGCAAGGACAGGTAGAGATCCCTGGGGCTCGATGGCAGACCAGCTGGCCTAGCAGAGCCTGCAAGCCCCAGCTCCCAGTAAGAAACTATCTCAAAAAGCAAAGTGGAAGGCTCCCAAGAAACACTCTCCAAATCGACTCTGGCCTTCAAATGAAAACTCACACAGGTAACTAGTATCCACATCCACACACACACCAAACAGGCACATAACAAAAGCGGCACTGATCTAACTAACATGCCTAAGGCCATGGTTTCCATCCTAAACTCCACAAAATGAAAAAAAGGTAGTGACCAAACTTGTTTTGTGAACGTTGAACTAATCTCAACAACAAAGATTATTTCGTTTTTTTTTTTTTTTTTTTTTTTGGTTTCTACTTCTAAACTAACCAAAAATAGAATCCAAGTATTTGAACTGATGCTATCATTTCCAGTACTTTCCAGTTCACTACCCCCTGGAATCCTCCAACCATCCCATGAAGTGAGGAGGAAAAAGAAAAGGCTCAGAGAGCAGAGGAACCTGGTCAGGCTCCACAACTTGTGACCAAGAGCGGCACCTGGCTTTGAAGTCAGTGTCCCTTCCAGCTAACAAACACAGACCCCACCGACTCTGCTGCTTCTCCTTGAAATGTACCAAACCGCAGAATGATTCCCATTTAATAGATCATGTGAAGCAAGTTTTGTATTAAAGTGGCATGTTATCACATACACTCTATTCCAAATCCTTCACTGTTCCCATTTTAGTTAAAATCAGCTACTAAAAAATTAGCCTACTGTTTTCTCTTGGATTCACTTAAGTTTGGGAAAAACAAACTGCAGACAAGTTCATCTATACATTCCATACTTCCTTTTTCTAGAATAGTAACTCCTCCCACAGTCTTAGCATGCTACAAAATTATTTTATTAACAAAAATGTCTGAAAAACATTTACTCGTTAATTAAAGTAGGGTCTTCATTTCATGGGGAAATTAAATATATATACACATATGGTTTTTGAGACAGTGTCTCAACTATGTAGCCCTGGCTACTCTGAAAACTAATACATAGAACAAGACTGGCCTGGAATTCCCAGGGATATTCCTGCCTCTGCCTAAAGAGTACTGGGATTAAAAGTGTATTAGCAGCTGGGCACAGTGGCACACGCCCGTGATCCTAGCACTCTGGGAGGCAGAATCAGGCTGATCTCTGTGAGTTCAGGGCCAGCTTGGTCTACAGAGTGAGTCCAGGACAGGCAGCTACACAGAAAAACCCTGTCTCAAAAAGCAAAAGTAAATAAACAAGATAAAAACATATAAAATCAGCTCCCTTGCTGCTTATTGCTATTCTTTTATTACTATTCTTTAAAGCGGAATGTTATAGAAAAGTTAATTTGTAGTCATTCATTCATTTTCAGAAATGTTAGGTTTTTTTTTTAAAAAAAAAAAAAAAAGGTTTAACTCATAGAAAATAAAAAGACTAACTACACCTACAACCGAACAACAAGGAAACAACGAAGTTAAAAAATGGTTATGGATTTGAGATTTCTCCAAATATCCAAACAGTAAGTGTGCTAGTTTGTTTTTTGTCATCTTGACTTGAGGCCAGAGTCATGTGGAAAGAAGGAACTTCAACTGAGAAAATGCCTCCACCAGACTGGCCTATGGGCAAGTCTGTGAAGCTTTTTTTTTTTTTTTTTTTTTTTTTTTTTTTTGATTGATGTGCGAGAATCCAACCCACAGATAAGGTGGGTGCCATCCCAGCAGGTGGTCCTGGGTTGAAAGGAGGCTGAGAAAGCCATGTGACAGGAGCAGCATTCCCCGGTGGCCTCTGCTTTAGTTTGCTTCAAGTTCCTGTCCTGACTTCCTTCAATGAAAGATTTCGACCAGTAAGAGGAAATAAACCCTTTCCTGCCCAAACTGTTGGTGATGGTGTTTTATCCCAGGAGGGCAAACCTAACTAGGACATAAGCATGGAAAAGCTGTCCCTGGGCCATTGTCCCTAGGCTCAGTGAGTAAAAGTACTTGCTGCCTTGCAAGCCTTGCAAGCAGAGTTCAATCCTCAGAACCCAGAAAAAGGTGAAATTTGAGCTCTGAGAGAGCTCAGTAGTTAAGAGCACTGGAGTCTCTTCCTACACCCATACAAGCTGTTTAGAATCATCTGTAACTCCAGTTCCAGGGGATCTGGCCTCTGAGGACACCAGGCATGCATACGGTGCAGACATACATGCAGGCAAAACATCCATAAACATAAAATTTTCTAAGTTTTAAAAACTAGAAGAAACGAACCAACCCCACAAAGTTGTCCTATGACCAACCTCTACACACACCGTAGCCTGTACACTATATCTACACACAAGTAAAAACTTTAAATTGCCTACTACCAGCCTTTAGGGAAATGCAAATCAAAAGCACAGGAGAGGCTAAAGATGTGACTCAGTAGATAAAGTGCTTGCCTCACACCAACACCACAAAACTGGCAGTGCAAGCTTATAATCTCCTCACTGAAGGGAAGAGGATCAGATGTTCAAGGTCAGGTGGCTAAAAAGCCAGCACAAGGCAAAGGGGAGGGAATGGGTACACACATGCTGAGTAGAGCCTGGTACTGCTACAAAGAAAGAAAAAAAAAAAAAAAAACACTGTTACAGCTGGACCTAACGGTGTCCAGCGCTCAGGAAGCTTCACCACAATTTTCTGAGTGAGGGATACATGAGAGACCATCTCAAAAAATAAAACTGGAGGTCAACTGTGAAACAGTAAATTGTATGTATATATTTTCTATAACGTTTTAAAAAAGAATTTGAAGATTGGAGATAAGACTTAAGGGGTAAAGGTACTTGTCACCAAAAAGTCTGATGACCTGAGTTTAAGCCCAGAACCCGTGTTGTGGAGAACTGAAAATTGTCCTCTGACCTGCAATGTTTGCCATGGAACAAGAACACAAACAATAAACAACTGTTGTTAAAAAAAAAAAAAAGTTCTGAAACCTATTGTGGTGGCACATGCTTTGGATCTCAACATTTGGGGAGGAGGCAGGAGGAGCAGTTGGAAATCCTTGGTCCTCAGCTAGATAAGGAAGTCCAGGCCAGGCAGGCTTACCTGAGACCCTGTGTCAAAAAAGTGTCATATTACTGGTGGAGAAACACTGGTAAATCACTATTTAATTCAGCCACTTCCTATCCTAAAACATTTTAATAATAATTTTTAAAACCCACAATGTAAGTTACTTTATCTAATGAAAGATTCTAACGTCACTAAATAGGCCCTTCTACATACTGCAAGGATTTCAACAGTGTTACGGATGACTAACTAGTTAAAGTGGAGAAAATGTCCTAATTTAAAAGGATAAAGAGAAGGCACCTACGAGACAAACAAATAAGGACCAGGTCATTCAACAAGTATTTACTAAGTGCACAGAACCTGTAAAAAATCCAGGCCAAACTGTACTTCAGGTTGCAAAAAGGGAAGTTGAAGGCACAACTTCACACTCACCCAGGCCCAGAAAGTTAATATTCAAATCCACCCTTTAATAACTCCTACGAACTTGGGTGCCACCGCTATTTAATGTTAAACGGCCAAACACACTGTAGCAGCGGTTGCCATTTTCCGTTTGGCTTCCTCCAAGCTGATTAGGCGGCCTAACGGGGAACCGGATGAAATTATGCAACAGTTTTTCTAAGTCAGTTTGGGTTTAATTGATGACAAACAAAGAGAGAGTTCAACAGTTCCCACTGGGCAAAGTGTGCCAACTGACTCCACTTCCTATAATCTTATCTATCCGAAACTCAACGCCCTACACGGGGACCCCTCGGGTCCGGCTCTGGCTGACTGCGTTCTAAACGAGGTCCCAGTGCACCAACAGCCCAATTTTGGCTATATTCTCCGAGCGATTTAAGGAAGTCAGCAGCCACTCATCTCACGTGACCTGAAAAAGGGGCGCAGCTGAGCCAGGAATAAACCACTCTTTTCTTTTTTTTTTTTTTCTCCCCCCCCCCCCCCCTTGGCCTGCCTCAACCCTGCCCAGCTTGAAGGCAGAACCGGTGGGCAGGCGCGGCTGCGGGGCGAGGCTCGCACCGCGGGTCTGCACGCACCGCAGCGGCTGGGAAGCCGAGGCTGCCACACCCCCCGCCGGCCGGGGCCGCCGCCTCTTTCTCCTCTCCCCAGCAGAGAAGGCCCCTCGACCGAACGCCCACGGGGGCCGCGCCTCGCGCCTCCCGGACCCCAAACGGCCCTCCGCGGGTGGGACCCGGGGACGCCGGGCGGCCGCGGGGCTGGGGGGGGCAGGGAGGGGGTGGAAGGGCCGCGGCGGCGGCGGCGGCGGCAGGGCGCGCATGCGCGGGGCCCGGCGCCCGCCCGTTCACCCACCGTTGGAACCGCGAAGCCCCGTCCCCCGGCCTCGGCCGCTTCTCCAGAACCCTTGGCGACGTCGACAAGGCGAGAGCGGAGGCTCTGAGCGGCACGGCGGCCTGCGGGGCTCCTCCCGAGGCGGCCTCTGGCGCGAGGCTGAAGGGACTGCTGCGGCGCGGGGCCAGCCCGGTAGCGACCCCCGGAGACCCCGGGCGGCGGCGGTGGCGGCGGACGCGGACAAGTGGGCGGCGGAGGCGGCGGCGGCGGCTGAGGCGCAGAGCCTCCCTAACGGCGAGCGGGAGGGGAGCAGGGCGGAGGGCGAGCGGCCGGGCCGGAAGTGACGCGGGGGGGGCGGGGCGAGCTCGCGGCGCCCTGGTCAGCCCGGATTCGGCGCTGGACTGCGGCGGCCGCGGCCTGCCCCCCCCCCCCCCGGGTGCCTGGGGCCGGGGCCCGGCGCGAGCCGGGGGGGGGGGGGGCCCGGGTGTGTCGCGGGGAAGGAAAGCGCTTGGGAGGCCTAGAGGGGAAACTGAGGGGCGCCCGCGGTCTTCAGCCGCGCCTCGAGCCCCGCAGGAGGTCCGGGAAGCCCTAGCGGCGAGGATTTCGTAAACCTTCACCAGAAGCTAGCTGCCCGGCAGGCCCCAAGGGTCATCGTTTTCTTATTGGCAGCGATTTGGGTCAGATGAGGGATTCCTGGGGTTCTGCCTCGCCCCTCTCTTCCCATCCCACCCCGCTCTACCTAAGTACCTGACCTGGACTCCAGAGAGATTACCAAGCCGTGGTGCCTCCAGGAGGGATCGGAATATGGAAGTTAATAGACTTGCTCACAGAGAACTTCTGACAGTAAACCACGACGGGAAGACATGAGTTATGAGCCTAGGATTATGACCTTGCTTGTGTGGCCACGTAGACCAACCTTGCAGCAACCTTGCGGCTCCCTCGCACCCTCAGCAATGTGATTAGATCATCTCATCTGTTAAAGGCTTTGACGTCTTAACAGTGTTCAGCAAGGTAAACTAGTTTCTCTAAAAAGTACAAACCACTACAAAGGTGTGGCTTTATCCCTCTGAAATCTCAGCACTCAGGAAGCTGAGGCAGGAGGATCACCTCCAGTTGGAGGCCAACCTGGACTATATAACATGGACAAAACCATCCTGAGCTGCCTCAAAAGTCAAAAATAAAAAATAAAAAAACCACTGCAGCTCCCTACCTGCCTTTGTCAGAAGTCAGTAACCTAGAAAATGTAAACAATAAAACCAAAACTCACAGACATTGGCACAAGAGTTATGAAAAGTGATCAGATGTACCCCATGGCTGCAGTCCTAGCATTTGCGGAGTAAAGGCTGGAGGATTTTAAGTTCAATGAGGCCAACCTAGTCTACATGATGAGTGTAAAGTAATCAAGACTACCTTGTCTCAAAAACCCACAACGATTTGTAAAAATAAAAAGGGAGGGCTGGAGAGATGACTCAGCAGTTAAGAACATTAGCTGCTCTTCCAGAGGACCCAGGTTCAATTCCCAGCACCCACATGGCAGCTCACACCTGTAACTCCAGTTCCACGGGACTTGCCACCCTCACACAGACATTAATGTAGGCAAAACACTAATAAAATGCTCATAAAATAAAAAAATATTAAAAAGTCACCCTATGCAATGATCTATCTGTAAATACAGAGACCAAAGTGGCTGCCAGACTTCATCAGAGAGACTGAAATTATCAGTAACCTAAAGGTCACATGCCCAGATGATGCTGTCATAACTGAAGGGTGTGGTCCACAAGAAGTCTAGAACCACAGAGCTGAAGAAGATACTGTGGGCACTTTTCCCGCTCTTCTAAAATAACTGAGCTTGATTCACAGCACCCAACTTAGCTCACAATTCGTGGAATTCCAGCTCCAAGGGATCTGACACAGTGTTCTAGAATGTTGTTTGTTTGTTTGTTCTTCCAGACAGGGTTTGGCTGTCCTCACAGACCAGGCTGGCCTCAAACTCTCAGAGATCCACCTGCCTCTGCCTCCCCGAGTGCTGGGATCACAGGCGTGCATACTTTTTCTGGCCTTCTTAGGCATCTACATTCACATGTACACAAACACATATAATTAAATAAAGTGTGTGTGAATACATACAGTATGACTCCTACTCTGTCCAGAAAAGAGGTAACTAGTTCTGATGACCAGAATCATATACCCAATATTGGCAAAAACCCTAATTCAAAACTGGGGTATGGGGTCAGTGGACAAGCACTTTAACAACTTACTCCTCAGTACCTGCCCCCAAATGTTTGTTTGTGGAGCAGACTATCTGTTCTGTAGCCCAGGCCACCCTGGAACTCATGAGTCTGCCTGTCTCTGCATCACCAATGAACAATCATGAGCATCATTCCAGGCTCAAGGAAAAAAAAAAAAAAACTTTAATCCTCATACAGTCACTCATTCAAGTGGATACTTATTGATACTTGAGCAGACAACTATGCTCTAGCCTCTTTGGACACATTAGATAAGATCCCTCCAGGGAGTTTATATACTAGCAAAGTTAAATTATGTTCATCCTGGATAAACACAAAGTCCCATGTTCCAATGTCAAGCTCAGCCAATAACTTTTCCATCACCTTTAATCTCAAAACACCCAGTAAAATGGCATTGTCCAGGGCACACAAATGAAGACTAGCTCGCCAGCCGTGCAGTCTCAGTTTATTCTCGGTGTAATTTATAAATTAGGTTGCGTCCACTGGGTTGAATTTTGAAGTTGTTCTATCCAAATTAGTTCCTCAAAGCCTAATTAACCTGAGCAAGTGATATTTAGGTTTCCACATCTGCCAAACTAGGCCAGCAAAGATGGCTTATCCACTAAGGGTGACAAGCCTGGCAACCTGACTTTGACCCTGGGACCTGCATGATGGGTGGACAGAATGGACTCCTACAGATTGTTTTCTGACTTCCATATATGCACTTCTGCTCATGCACGCACACAGACCACCACCACCACACAAATAAATGAAAACAATTCTGCCAAACCGATGCCCCAAGCCTGTTTCATAGCAGCGCAATCAAGATGCAGTTTGCATTTAACCTTGTACCTTTCTTTAAATGTTGTTGTTTGCTTTACTTTGGAGATGATTTATTAACTCACTTAAGAGAGAAATACTGCCTGTTGAGCCCACACCTGATGACTCATTCCTGTAGTGACAGCACTCCAGAGGCTGAGGGAGGATGATCAGAAGTTCAAGATAAATATGAGTTTGAGGCTAGCCTGGACAACATGAGCCCCTGTATCAAAAAAAAGCCAACAAATCCACAAGCCTACCCTACTACCCTGACATCGACTGCTCTCATCTGATCACAGAGGCAGAGCAGGGTCCAGCCTGCTTAGTACTTGGATAGAGACTGCTTCTGAACAAGGGCACTGTAGGCTGTGCTGAGCATGGTGGCGTACACCTTTAATCCCCACACTCAGGAGGCAGAGGATCTGCCTAGATCTCTGGAGGACAGCCTGGTCTACAGAGTGAGTTCCAGCCCAGCCCACGGTATAGAAAAAGACCCAGTCTCAAAATCATTAAATTTTAAAGAAGAGGACACAAGGTTAGGAGGGTAGAGGAGGAGTGGGGATCTGGGTGGAATGGAGGCCAAGGGTAAAGATGATCAAAATACACTGTATGAAATTCTCAAGAAACTCATTTTTTTAAAAGAGCCATTGATAAAGGCAATATATTTTCAGCTTTTACAACATTTTCTCCAAATAATGGTTTATGGAAATATACCATGTTAATTTCTGTCAAACATTTCCTAATTCTTAGAACATTTTTTTAAACACTGGAAAATTTCACAAGACTATGAAACTTAAAACTGATACTCTGGGCTGGAGAGATGGTTCAGAGGTTAAGAGCACTGTCTGCTTTTCCAGAGGTGCTGAGTTCAATTCCCAGGGACCACACGGTGGCTCATAACCATCTAGAAGGTGAGCTGATGCCCTCTTCTGGTGTGCAGGTATACATGCAAATAGATCACTCATATACATTAAAAAAATAAATAAATCTTAAAAAAAAAAAAAAAGAAAGAAAAGAAAACTGAAATTCCACCAGCTTGGGTTATTGAGATGGCCCAACAGGTAAAGGCACCTGCTTCCAAGGCTGATGACATGAGCCTTGACATACCCAGAACCCACACAGCAGAGAGAAAAGTCTCATAAGCTGTCCTTTGACCTGGCACAGCTGGCACAGACACAAATGTTAAATAAATAAATAAAGTAAGTAAGTCAGTGAATGAATGAATGCTTTTAAGGAAAGAATTCCAGGGGCTAGAGAGATGGCTCAGAGGTTAAGAGCACTGGCTGCTCTTCCAGAGGTCCTGAGTTCAATTCCCAGCAACCACATGGTGGCTCACAACCATTTAAAATGGGATCTGATGCCCAATTCTGGCATGCAGGTGTACATGCAGATAGAGCACTCATATACATAAATAAATCTTTAAATAAAAATCATTCCACCAGGCTAAACACTAAGACTTTACCTGTAAGTCCATAGTTGGAAAATAGAGGCCATATGATTGCTTCAAAAGCTTAATCACAAGCAAGTAAAATTCATGAGTAATGCCTAAGAGAACAAAATGTCCACCTTATCCCCACTTACACAGGCCCTGATTACCGTAACTGGCTATAGAAGGTACTTTATATGAAGCCAAAAACGCTCACTCCCCCTCACCTCTAGGTACCTAGTTTTCAAGTACAGGTTAAAAAAAACAACAACAACTAGTGACTTGATTCACTGAACATCTCCCACTGGGATAGTCAAGGACATGTCTTAGAAAACAAATTCTGGATCTTAAGGGTATTCAAATGCAGAGATCATGGGATAGAATTTCTAAAATAAAAACAGAATTTGGTCAGAAGTAGTAGCATAGGCCTGTTATCCCAGTGGGAGGCTTGAGGCTTGCTGTGTGTTCACAGTTTCACAGCCAGCTGGAACTACTCATGGGCCCTTTTTCACAAAACTAAAACCAAAGACGAGCCATGGAGATGGCCCTGCAGGTAAAAGCCTGAGAACAGGGGCTCAGTCCCCAGAACACACAAAAAGCTGGACGCGTGGAGCTGGAGAGATGGCTCAGCGATTAAGAGCACTGTCTGCTCTTCCAGAGGTCCTGAGTTCAATTCCCAGCAAGCACATGGTAGCTCACAACCATCTGTAATGGGGTCTGATGCTCTCTTCTGTCATGCAGGCATACATTCAGATAGAGTGCTCATATGTATAAATAAATTTTTTCTTTAAAAAAAAAAAAAACTGGACACATCTGTAATCCCACCTCTATATC